AGCAGGGGCTACTCCGAGGGGTAAGGTTGCAGTAATGTGCCTTCAGTCATGATGGTGCAGATGATAGCCATTGCCTGTCTTCGGCATCAAGCCGATGCAGTGCAAGTTCGATCAAAGCATGCATACGGAGTAGGCTGAGGCCAGTGCTGCAGTGCCAGGCTTTCGCCCGGTGACAATGAAATCTAGAGCCCACACGAAGATAATTTCAGGAGCTCGGTTTTCCAACGTGTTAGAGTATTGAACTTGTACAAATGTCTCCCAGCAATGACCCTTCTTGTAGTGACATGATGCATCGCCTTAGTACAGCCCAGCGATGATGTTTTTGATACCTGCTGCTTCGTGCCTGCATGTGTGCGCTCGCATGTGCATGCATTTGTCTTTTGCCCTAGTGACCGGGTGTCTCGGGGCTCGGAGGGAAGCGTGTTGAACATGGCAGCACCACAACGGCACTGTCAAACCTGCATGGAATCCAGAGCATTGGTGTCAACTGTGAAGTCCTGCGCCGCTGCCCAATCAGACCATGTCCTCACCCTACCCGCCTGACACCGGGAATCAGAAGTTTGCGTTGACAAGTCCGGATCCTGCTGTGTCCCGTGCTTGCTGTCGATTCGCGCCTGCTTTTCTCTATTTCAGGGGTGACGGCCAGGGATTACGCCTCAAAATGGGCCCGTGCTCTAGAGAACAGAGTGAACATGGCAGTACAAAGGGTACCTAACGCCAAGATTCCGAGTCTGCGTCGGCATGCGAAGCAGAGTGCAGTGCAGCAAGGCATGAGGCAAGCAGGTGCAATCAGATTGCCCAGATGTCAGAAGGCCAAGACAAAATGAATCTCTGCAGACATTGACAGGCAATGGCAGGCCGCCCCACTGCTTCAGCCAGGTGCCTCCCTCAGCACACCCCTTCGCACCCTTTCGCAACTTGTCTGAGGTAGCATCAAGACATGCGGCTGGAAGAGAAGCCCGTCTCGAAAGCCGCCGATGTTTGTGATTGCAGCGGCCTGCCGTTGAAGATTGGAAGTAAAGCTCTGACTGCGGGGATAGCTCCGTTGCCACGCTGGCTTCCTCGCTTGCGACGCGCGCGGCGGCCTGTTCCGAGAAGATGCAGCTGCCAGCGGTTGCCTGGCAAGCAAGGCCAGAGCAAGATCCTCCCGGCATGAGTCTCCTCAATGCACATCGCTTTCCGACCCGGGCTTGTTGGCGGTTGGCAAAGTGCGCCCAGGCCCTGTGGCCTTTCCCCGTCTCATGTGGCATGTCCAAGTGCCGGCCATGACCCCATGTAGAGTGCAGGCGCGCACCTTTGCAAGGATGATGGTTGTAGGTCTCCTAAGCGAAACAAAGCCCTCAACAGACTCCAAAAGAAACTACAGGGGAGCTTCTCGGGTAGTTTCCGGGCGTTTGCCTTGATGCACCAGAAGGCGAGTGACACCAAACACAGCTGACCGCGCCGGTAAGGGAAAGCCAGCAGGGGCAATCGCTCGGGGACAAAAGTTGTAGCAATGCACTTGCAGTGATGGTGCTGATCATAGCCGTTGCACATCTGGGGCGTCCCACCGATGCAGGTGCACGTTCGATGAATGCGTGCATATGGAATGAGTTGAGGCCAGAGCTGCAGTGCCGGGTTTTTGCCCGGCGACGGACCCTAGAGCCTACATGAACATAAGTTCAAGAGCTCGACTTCTAACGTGTTGGAGCATTGAACTTGCACTAGTGTCTCCCAGCAATGACCCTTCTTCTAATGACGCATCCCCCTAAACGAGCCAAGCCAGTGAAGTGATGTTCTTGATACCTATGGGTTCGATGCCGCACATGTGCGTTCGCATGTGCAAGCGTTTGTTTTTTGCCCGGGTGACCGGCGTGTCTTGGGGGCTCTGCTCGGAGGGAAGGGTGTTGAGGTCTGAGTGTGTGAAAGCGTAAGGATACTATGCGTCGCCACAGTGAGCATGGCAGCACAAAGGCTACCTTGAGGCTAAGATTCCGAGTGCGTGTCGGCATGCAATGCAGATTGCATTGCAGCAAGGCATGATGCGAGCGCACACAGTCAGACTGCTGTCAGAAGGCCAAGATTTTTGCAGTGCGAGCATGAACAAGGCACTGCGGACCGCCCAACTTCTTCAAACAGGTACTCCGCAGGTGGCAATCAAGACATGTGTCTGGAAGAGAAGCCTGTCTCGAAAGCCGCCGATGTTTGTGATTGCAGCAGCTTGCAGTTGGACATTGGAAGTAAAGCCCTGATTGCGGGGATAGCTCCATTGCCACGCTGGCTTCCTTGCTTGCAGGTTGCGCGGCCTGTAAAGACAAGATGCATCTGCCAGCGGTTGCCTGGCAAGCGTGGCTAGAGCAAGATCTTCCCAGCGTGAACCTCGTCACAGCGCATCGCTGCCCATCCCAGTATCCATTTCGTTGTCCTCTTCATGGGCAAAGCGAACATCCCTTGTCCGCTCGCATTCAAAAGCTCAGATGGAAGGCCGGGAAGCAGCGAGTAGAGCACCCTCCTCTGTACATGTGCCGCATAAGGAGGGAAAGAAAGTTGATCTTCCTGAATGGCCTTAGACGCGGGCGCATGCTCCGCAGAGGCTACATGCACGTGAACATTGTCAACGCTAGGTCCTCAAGTGATAGTTCACATCCTTTCGCGGACGTGGCTTGTTGGCTCGTATTCCGCTTCGCCGAAGCTTTGTCGAAAGTTGCATCGCTTAGGCTTGCCTCAGCGGAAGTCTTCTGACTGCTGGGCTTCGCAAACACTTCGGGACTGTTGTGGCGTTTGCCAAAGTTCGTCCAGACCCTGTGGCATTCCCGTGTTTCCATGTCAATGTGCCAGCCGCTGTCACTGACTTGACAGACCCCATTTAGACTGCAGGCACACCCACACACATTTAAGGTGATGATTGCAGTTATACGCCTCGTAAGCCAAAAAAGCGTTAACACACCCAAAAGCAACCGCAAATGATGACATTCTCGGCAGTTGCTGACAGTCATGCCAGTCTACTCAGCTTTTTGCCTTCTGAAAGAAAATGATGCCCGGGCACAGCTGACCGGCAACAGCAAGGGAACGCGAGGGTCTACTGGCTTTGGGCAAACTTGCAGTGGCATACTTTCAGTCCTGATGGAACTACTGATAGCTGTGGCAAGCCTGAGTCGTACTGCGGATGAAGGTGCATGTCCGATACATGCGTGCATACAGAGTAAGCTGAGGCCAGAGCTGCATTGCCAGGTTCAGTGCCTGAGCCCCTCTCCGCGAGCTCGCATGACTAGGCTGGCATGCGAGCATTGGTTGTTTGGGGGTTTAGGGTTGAGGCTCTAGCGGGCGTTCCTGCAGGCGTGCCCTTGCAGAAGGACAGATGAGACCCTGTGGCAAGGATGCAGGAACATGATAAACTCGTTGTCTGACCGCTGATCGTGCGGAGACTCCTTTACATGAGCCAATCCGCCCGTGTAGCTGGCCGCTTGCTACGACATGTCGCTCTCTGGGCAAGTCGATTTCGGAATTTCCGCATGCATGACTGGCTTGTGTGGCGCATGCAAATGCAGCATTGGCATCCCATTACTTGCCGGCGACCATGAACCCCAGTGCCTACATGCAAAGAATTCCAACCGTGCAGGTTCAATCGCGATGGGCTTGGCTTGGCCAAAGCTTGCGAGAAGAGAGCTCTTGCCGCAGCTCCATGAAAGCAGTTGTGACCCCTGGCCGGCGAGGCAGAGTTCACGCCGTCAGACATCGGCAAACGTGAGGCTGGGACGTGCTTAACCCTAAAACCCTAAACCCTAAACCCTAAACCCTAAACTTGACCAGCTGAAGCCTTCCTAGCCTTGGTGGCCAAAACCTGTTGGAGAAAAGCCAATGCATGCGAGAAGGGAGTTCTGTTGCAGCTCAAAGAGCAATGAGCGGTTGTGTTGCTGGCCGGTGTGTTCCGATTGCACAGCGTCGCTGCGCACCGGTGAGCACAGGGCCGCGGAAAAGGAGGATGTGTCTTCCAGTCTTGATCAGCAAACGTGAAAGACGTCCTTGTCATCGGCTTGGCCATTCTCGCTCCCCCTGATACCTTGCAGCATAAACCAACAGAAGCAAGGGGTCGAAATTTTCCTGACCTTGCGTGGTTTTTCCCCGGTGTCCGGCATTAGCCGATGAACAAAGCTTGTTGCAGTTCCATGACCAAAGAGCGGGTGTGACCCTGCTCCCTCGACCAGGATGTCAGAACTCGCGTCGTCAAGCGCTGGCGACTATGAGCCTGGAAGGGTGACGGCATGTCCGAGATTGACTACTTTTGTGCGAGAGCTGCCCTTATCACCAGCTCAAATGAATTTGTCTCACCATGCTGCCACACGGCACAAAAAGATTCCTGAGTGCAGGACGTGGGCCAGTGACCTTGCATGACCTTTGCCTTTACGATCCTTTTGGGCTGAGACGTTGAGAATCCGTCTACTGATTCGTACTGTTATTGAGAGATGTTCATGTCCAATAGCTTCCGTTATGCTTATGTGAGGGCGGCGCGCTCGCTCCTTCAAGCCTTCTTAGATGCTTCCCTGTTAGATATTCAGTTTGCTTACATGGGGGTTTACGAAAATCGAGGCCGGCACGTATGTGGACCCCCAGATATTCCATCATTTCCTCAAACAAGAGAGAGAGAGAGAGAGAGAGAGACGTCGTTGTTTAAGTGGAGCTCGTTGAAACACAAAGTTTTCGTTGACCTGGAAGCATATGTATATATTACCGTAAACCCTAAACCCCAAACCCTAAACCCGAACCGGGCCTCCACATGTAGGGTGCCCAGACAGGGACCAACAGATTCTAGCAGCCGTTTGCAGATGCATTCAGAGCTTCCAGCATGTTTCAGGTTCAGAAGGAGCATCGTGCAGACGCATGCCGGTTTAGGGTTTAGGGTTTAGGGTTTCGGGTTTGGGATTTAGGGTTTAGGGTTTAGGCTGCCCTCATGGTGCTCCATGTAGCCGCTCGTTGTATGAGTGACCGGTTCGTGGGTTTGGTTGAAAGCGGTTGCACTGACCATGAAGCCTAAGCAGCCATGCGTCCGGGAATGGTTGGCTTCAGTGGATTCAGATCTGGAAGTTTACGCTGCCAAATTTGAGGAGTTCGGCTACAATCTCAATTTCCTACGCGAAACAAGTGCGGATGACTTGGAGGAAGATCTCAAGGAGATGCTGGTTAAAAAGGTGCATTGCCGCGTCATCCTCCATCATCATTCTGTTCTGAAGCAGCGACCTCTGCCGGAGAGAGCGACCACGCAAGCAGATCGAAGCCATGATTCATCACATGCGCACGGGCTTGTTCCATGCATCGCTGATATGCTGGAGTTTCAGAAGCCCGGTGCAAGATATGGGACGTAAGGCTTACATCCTGTCACGTCTTGTGCGTTGTTTGATGTAGTGCGCTTGGTTGAATGAAGCTGCATCTGCAGCTTTGCAGCTGAGTGTTTGAGGTTTGCAGCATCCTAGTTCTAGATGACAACACGTAAGCCACAAGGCCAAATCCACACAGGTGCTGCGAAATCTTCTCCTTCGGTTGCGAAGGGTACAAAAAACCTCATAAACACCCTAAACCCTAAACCCTAAACCCTAAAAGCCCTAAACGCACCCCTCGAGCTCCGCGGAAATGATCTCAGGAAGCGCCTGGTGCTTTCGGAGAACGTTGGCACTGGCCGTGTGGTTTTGGTGCCGATCTGGTGCCTACGCTGGGCGCAGGCCAAGGTACATAGCCAGATGACTTTCACATCAGGAGATTACAAGGACGGGTTCTTGGAATAACGCCCAATCCCAGAACCTCAAACCCCCCTGAACCCTACGCTTAGGGTTCAAGGTTTTAGGGGTTTGGGTTTAGGATCCACACCTGCAGTGAGTTCAAGGCAAAAACAAGTTGGTCACTTCAAACCCAAACATTCTCTGAGCTTGACGGCGCGGCCCTCGAATTTGAAACCGAGGCCTTCATCCTCAAATCGACTGTTCTGGGAAAAGTTCTACTAGTTGATAGGGTTTAATTTTGGTTTAGGGTTTAGGGTTTAGGGTTACGGGGATTTCTCTAAATTATGATGCTTTTGGGGTAATATCTAGGGTACCCCAAATAGGGACCATCATGTTGAGAACTGACCATAGATATGAGGGTTTCCAAAGCGAGGGGGGTTCCACTTTATACCCCCCAACATCGAAGAAACCACCCTTGAACCTCCAACAGGGAGCCAACCCAAACCCTAAGCCCTAAGCCCTAAACCCTAAACCCAAAACCCTAAGCCCTAAGCCCCTAAACCCCAAATACAAGCAACAGATCTTTCGCCATCCCCAACTCCTTATCAGTTCCAACCCGAGCATAAAAAAATCCGAGAGCGTTGGCCTCATTGTTTGGGGTTTCTCACCCCAAAGGGGTTTTGGGCTTGTTTAGGGTCTAAGTTTAGGGTGTAGGGTTTCGGGTTTCGGGTTTGCGTTGAATGTTTTAGGTCTTATAAGCCCCCCTAAACCAGCCCTAAGCCCTAAACCCTAAACCCTAAACCCTAAACCCTAAATCCTAAACCCTAAGCCCTAAACCCTAAACCCTAAACCCTAAGCCCTCCAGCATTTTCAGGACCGATCTGTCTATGAGCTTTTTCATGACCTGGCCAGCGGCCGACTGAAGCCGCAGGACCTGTGATGAACAGCTGCTCTCAGGGTAGCGTTTAGGGTTTAGGGTATAGGGTTTAGGGTTTAGGGTTTAGGCTACCCTAACGAAGAGCTGCTCTCAGGTGTTCAAGGCTTTTGGGTGGAGTGGTTCGGGTTTAGGGTGTAAGGCTCAGGGCTTTAAGGTTCCGAGGCCCTGCGGATCTTGTTGTTGAAGGAGTTCTCCCGACATCCTGAGCCCAACACCCTGAAACCCAAAAGACTCTTTCCTGCTGTCCTGCTGCAGGGCAACAGCAAAAGTTTCGTACAACTTCCCGGGGTCCAAGGTCCAGCCGTGCAACAGGGTTAGGGTTTGAGGCCCCTTGATGTTAGGTGCTGGCTGCGGACCTCATAGTTCCTCAACAGGATCTGCTAGTACAGAGAAGTGGGAAGTCGTTGAGGTTACCTGCAAGAACGAGCCCTAGGCTCGGGCTCCCAGATTCACGAATTGAAGGATGTCGAGCCTCTGGATGTCATGGTGGACGGCGATACCCTGCGCATCATGCGGGGCAGTCGCCGTGGGGCCATGCTCAGCAGCCTGCAGGGCATGTGCATTGGCTTGAAACTTTGGGGTCGGGGACTACGACTAGGAGTGCTGCAGCATAAGCCAGAAGCCGCAACCAGTAATCCCAGCTGCTCAGTTCTATGTCCCATTATGTCCCTAAACCCTAGCCCTAAACCCTAAAGCTTACACAGATGGCCTAGCAGGTGGCGGCACACCACGGTCTTGGCACCTTGCCGGCTCTACGAACCCAAAGACCCGAGGATTGCCAATCGGCTCCATGCAGTCGACAGTTCTGTGAATGGTGTCGGGCTACAGCTGCACGGGCATCAGCCGGAGGCGTGGCACATGGGCAAGCCACTCTTCCGCTGTGCGCGGGAGTGGTGTGATGGTGGCTCGGAGGAGGCTGGCGACTACTGCTCTGGCTTGACACCGCACCCTGACACTCCAGGCTTATTCACAAAGCCTGACTATGAATTGAAGAAATCTCTTGCAGAAAAGGGAGACGTCAAGGTCGGGACAACAATGGCTTGGAGGGTCAAGGCGCCAGGGACATCGTCCAACGAGGGCTGCATCACACCTACCTTGCATGGTGCCATTGACATGAATTCAAGGTCTGAAGCTCAAAGTCAGGAGGCTCAGAAGCTCGTGGGCGGTCGAGGGACGGGTAAAGATGAAGTCAAGACTTTCGTGGACGAAGCACCACCGACAACAAAGGCATTCGTGTGCTGTTTTTGGCTTAAGGGCAAGTGTTTGCATCTTGGGCAGCACACTCACGGAAAGAAGTTGCTCTTGCACGAAGATGTGCCTGGACTTCAGTGCGGGTACGGGGAGAGGTGCAGTTTGGCTCATCACAGGGCCAGGCTAGCATCTAAGTCTCATACCTCTGACAAGCTGTTGCCCGAGGACAGCAGCAGTTGTCGTCACTGCAGCTTCCATCTTCGAGAAGGCATGGTGGTCTCGGTTCAGTGTGCTAAAGGAGTGAAGTTCGGCGAGGTGTTGTCCATCGGTGCGGGCAGCTCCGGACCAGTACAGGTCGGCTATTATGACGACGAAGGCGAAGTGAGTGAATCGGAATTGGTGCCTTTAGATCTGTTGCAGCTTCCAGACTTTTCCTCAATCAGCGTGGGAATGAATGTTCAGGTGCAGTGTGGAGAAACGAAGCAGTACTATGCCAAAGTGCAGCAGATTTCATTTGAGAACGGCAAAGCTCGGGCACCCGTCCTAGTCCACTACACAGGCTACTCAGTCGATCATGACGAGTGGGTTGGGGCTGACCGCCTACGCACTAAAAGTCTCAGGTTTTCCCAGCCCACGCTGCCTGCACAACCCTCAGACAACCCAACGTTGAACGTCTCCACTCCAGCAATTGCCACCTCTGAATTGCAGAGTGGCGCGCTCGTTTATGTCAAGCTCGATTCCTCCATGATTTGTGGGGAGGTGCTCGAGATATCAGGATCGTCATCGAAGTCTGCAGCACCAGTAAAAGTGCGCTATTATCATGAAGGCCAGTTCGTCGAGAAGTGGCTGTCCCTGCGGCGTTTGCAGGTTGCGGACTATTCTTTGCTTGAGGAGGGCATGAATGTGCAGGTGCAGTGTGGAGAGAAACCCTATTTTACAACTGTCCTTCAGATATCGCACGATGCGCGACGAGCAAAGACACCTGTCCTGGTGCACTACAATGGCTACGAGGAGGACGAGTGGGTTGGGGCTGACCGCCTACGCACCAAAAGTCTCAGGTTTTCCCAGCCCACGCTGCCTGCACAACCCTCAGACAACCCAACGTTGAACGTCTCCACTCCAGCAATTGCCACCTCTGAATTGCAGAGTGGCGCGCTCGTTTATGTCAAGCTCGATTCCTCCATGATTTGTGGGGAGGTGCTCGAGATATCAGGATCGTCATCGAAGTCTGCAGCACCAGTAAAAGTGCGCTATTATCATGAAGGCCAGTTCGTCGAGAAGTGGCTGTCCCTGCGGCGTTTGCAGGTTGCGGACTATTCTTTGCTTGAGGAGGGCATGAATGTGCAGGTGCAGTGTGGAGAGAAACCCTATTTTACAACTGTCCTTCAGATATCGCACGATGCGCGACGAGCAAAGACACCTGTCCTGGTGCACTACAATGGCTACGAGGAGGACGAGTGGGTTGGGGCTGACCGCCTACGCACCAAAAGTCTCAGGTTTTCCCAGCCCACGCTGCCTGCACAACCCTCAGACAACCCAACGTTGAACGTCTCCACTCCAGCAATTGCCACCTCTGAATTGCAGAGTGGCGCGCTCGTTTATGTCAAGCTCGATTCCTCCCTGATTTGTGGGGAGGTGCTCGAGATATCAGGATCGTCATCGAAGTCTGCAGCACCAGTAAAAGTGCGCTATTATCATGAAGGCCAGTTCGTCGAGAAGTGGCTGTCCCTGCGGCGTTTGCAGGTTGCGGACTATTCTTTGCTTGAGGAGGGCATGAATGTGCAGGTGCAGTGTGGAGAGAAACCCTATTTTACAACTGTCCTTCAGATATCGCACGATGCGCGACGAGCGAAGACGCCTGTCTTGGTGCACTACAATGGCTATGCCTCTGAAGAGGACGAGTGGGTTGGGGCTGACCGCCTACGCACCAAAAGTCTCAGGTTTTCCCAGCCCACGCTGCCGTCGTGTTTCCAGCCTTGCGCAGATACGGGGCGCACATCGACCGCCCAAGCGGGTCTGGAAAAGATACCATCGTCAATTGACCACGCTGCAGAGTCATCCCAGTGCCACTCTGCTTCCCGCCATGTTGCTCTGCCATGGGACGAGCCGGAGGGCTCGGATGATGAGGATGCTGCCCGCGGGCTCGACTTGGCTTTGGCGGCGGTAGAGGCTACGGCAGAGAGCCCGCCACCGTCGCGCAAGAAGGGCTTGGAGAAGGCGCTCCAAGGCGCGACGGGCACGGCGCATGTCCGCAAGGTGCTGGCTGAGCACGGATGGACCGGTACGGAGTTCCTGGAGGCTCCAGACTTGAATGCCCTGAAGCAGCAGCTGTCACTAGCCAAAATGAACCTGCACGAGTCGGAGAGCCACGCCAGCCGGAGTGATCTGTCAGATGACTTGGTGGACCCGCTCTTCAACGACGTGGCCTCCTCTTGTGCTGCGCCTGAGAACCAGGAGCCCGAGCTCGAGGCGGAGCTGGATGGGCAGCCGAGCAACATCCCGACCTTGGACAAGCTGAGACTGGTCTTCTCTGGGCATGTATAGGGTTCTCAGGGCATGCTGGTGTGTCATAGTCTTTTTGGTCCTTTTCAAAGAAATGCATGGCTTCAGATGACAACATTGCTCACCAAAAGCCCAGAGCTGGGCTGAAACCTCCAGAAACCACAAGCCCTATACTAAACCCTAAACCCGAAAACCCCGAGACCAGCATGACCTGTTGATTTACGAGGGACTACGTGAGACTTCATCCTTATGCTTGGCACGGAGAGCATCCGAGGATGGGAACCTTGGTCTACGGGACCTTTCGCTGCGTGTCCGGGGCTGCTGACGGGCAGCAGAAGCGTTGCGGAGAGGTGCGGGTGAACCCTCAAGCCCGAGCCGCTGGATTCTGCGACTGCCAATCTTAGCACCTCTGAGCAAGCCCTTGAAGCACGAAGCCCTAAATCCTTGAATTAACTCCCTGAGGCTCTACCAACCCTAACCCCTAACCCCTAACCCCTAACCCCTAACCCCTAAACCCTAAACCCTAAACCCTAAACCCTAAACCCTAAACCCTAAACCCTAAACCCTAAACCCTAAACCCTAAACCCTAAACCCTAAACCCTAAACCCTAAACCCTAAACCCTAAACCCGCTCTGAGCTTCCTTGTGCCCCTGGCAGGTGCTTGTGGAGCGCGGCCCGGCTTGCCTGAGCCGCTGTAAGGCATGTGTAGGGCTTCATGGGGTTTAGGGTTTAGGGTTTAGGGTTTAGGGTTTAGGGTTTAGAGTTTAGGGGTTTAGGGTTAGGGTTGAGGGTTTAGGGTTGAGGGGTCTCAGGGTCTCAGGGTCTCAGGGTCTCCTTGTGGGTTTTGGGGCTGAGTGGTTCGGGCTGCTTATGGAGTGAGGGAGGGCCCTATGAGAGTAAAGACATATTCCTTAAGTCCTCAGCCTGAAGCCCTAAGCCTAAGCCCTAAGCCCTAAAACCTAAACCCTAGACCCTAAACCCTAAGCACCCGAAGCCCCAAAGCCGATCCCTGGGAAGGTGCACATCCTCACGGGCAAGAATCGGGGTCAAGCTTGGGATTTCGACCGCTGTCACGTTCGGATTCTCTTCGCCGTGGCCTCAGTCTGGGCCAGGGTTTAGGGTTTTAGGGTTTAGGGGTTTAGGGTTTGGGAGTTTCGGGGTTAAGGGGTTTAGGGGTTTAGGGTTTAGGGTTTAGGGTGTAGGGTTTAAGGATCAGGATTGATGGGCGTTGTGCCATCATCTGAGATGATGTATGGACGTCCGGTGCGTTCAGTGCAGGGAGCACTTGCCCTTCCCAAGAGCGTCGCCCTCAGTGTGTCGTGCTCCTGCAAGAGACGACCGCTCACGAGTCAGGCAACCCTAAACCCTAAACCCTAAACCCTAAACCCTAAACCCTAAACCCTAAACCCTAAACCCTAAACCCTAAGCCCTAAGCCCTAAGCCCTAAGCCCTAAGCCCTAAACCCTAAACCCTAAACCCTAAACCCTAAACCCTAAACCCTAAACCCTAAACCCTAAACGCAAACCCTAAACCCTAGACCCTAAAATAAAGCTGCAGAAGCGATGAAGCCCTAAGCCCTCAGCATCCGAAACCCCAGAGCAGCCCTCGTGAACTCTAGAGAACCCTGAACCCCCCAAGCCTTCAAACCACTTCAATCACTTAAACCCCAAACCCTAAACCCTAAACCCTAAACCCTAAACCCTAAACCCTAAACCCTAAGCCGTAAACCCTAAGCCCTAAACCCTAAACCCTAAACCCTAAACCTTCTAAATCTCAAACCCCCAAACCATCTCAACCCCCAAAGCGCCCTAAACCCTAAACCCTCAGCCCTAAGCCCTAAGCCCTACACCCTAAACCCTGAACCCCTGAACCCCTGAACCCCGGAACCCCGAACCCTGAACCCCTGAACCCCTGAACCCCTGAACCCCTGAACCCCTGAACCCCTGAACCCCTGAACCCCTGAACCCCTAAACCCCTAAACCCCTAAACCCCGAAACCCCTAAACCCCTAAAACCCCGAAACCCCCAAACCCCGACACCCCTACACCCCTAAACCCCCAAAGCCTAGCTCTCAAACACTCAAGGCTTTAAAGCCTTGCACGAAGGCCCGGGTTTTCTCGCCGGACGGGCACGTTCGCCGGAAGCCGGCAGCAGACTCGGCTGGGGCCTGCTGCGGAGGGTTGGACCTGGACAGGCCCGCCGTCACCCTTGTGGCTACTGTTATGATGAGTGGTATTATTACTATTGCAATTATTGTTGTGTTCTGAAGTGGCTGCTGTTATGATTAGTACTATTGTTCGTATCCGTGTCGCTTGGACTTTGGAGGATTTTGCGCGAAACGTAGGATTCGAGTGTGTGATGCTTGGTCGGACTTGTAGATTCAATGCGTGGAAGATGGAAATCCATTCCGACAAACGCTGAAGAAGCAACTCGCACCAGAAGGGGGGGGGTTTCGGAGTCTCGGAGTTTCATCGGCCCACGCGCCCTGTGCAGGACGGAGCTCTTCGGCCGTATCTTGCTTTCGAAGGAGTTCGGGGTGACCAGGCAGAAGCTGTACGTGTGCTCGAAGTCCAAGGTCGTGCGCTCCAAGAAGGCCACTTCTCTCAACATTTTTTCTTACTGTTTTTTGGGTTTAGGGTTTATTTAGGGTTTAGGGTTTGGGGGGGGCTGAGTTGGGAGGCTCTGCAGAAGGAGGCAAGCTTCGAAGCCCTGACTCTGAGCAACTGCCCAGGTCTTGTCCTTTCACCCCATCAACGGGAAGCTGCCCGCCATACAGGTTCCCTGGGATGAGGCGCGCCCTGGGAGTGCCCAGCAACCATGACCTACATGTCCGAAAAAATGAGGTGCCTTCTTGTGATGGTCCCTTTAAGGGGATTCTAGTCTATTTGGGGTAAAACATCGGGGGTACCCCCTGGGATCAGGCCTTGCGCGTGCCCAGCAACCACGACCTACACGTGGTCGAAGTGAGCGAGTGGAGTCGGGATTGCCGGCCGCGGGGGCGGTACATCCAGGCTCTGGGGATGCAATCCCGCAACACCGATGTGGCCATCCTGGAGCCCGTGCAGATCCTTAGCAGCTGAATGAGTACCCTTTACACTTTTTGGGAATACTATAATCCCTATAATCCCCTTAAAAGAACTGAAAGTGTACACGTTTTTTTGGGGGGGCCCTGCGACCCGCAGCAGCTAACAGGATCTCTCTCAACTTCTGCGACTGGAAGCGGGGGGATGCCAGGAGAGCTTCGGGCCTCTTCCCTGCGGGGCATCTTCCGCGTCCCGATGCCTCGGGCAGGGAAGACCTCCGAGGGCCTCTGATGGTGGGCGTGCAACATTCAGGCCCGCTGCTAAGGAATTGATCATAGACCCTGAACCTTAAACCCTAAACCCTAAACCCTAAACTTTAAGTTTCCAAGATCTCAAACCTAACAGAATATGCCAGGTATATATTTTGATAGAGCGGTTTCCTTGTTCTGGTAGCTGAATTTAAGTTGCTGAACAAAGAGCCCAGACATTCAGGCCTGCCCACCAGCTTGGTGATGTCCTTTCTGCCTGGCAAGGGTGTTCAGATGCACGTCCTGGATGTCAATGCTCCTGACTCTGTGTTTGGGGAACAAGTTTCGTCGATCCCGCATGTCGATATCTTCTGTCTAATGAAAGCATCTAAATGCATTTGTTCTAGTACAGTGCCGTTGTAAGGCGCAAAACGTTTTATTAGTTTCTGGGCTCTTTGCAGGGTAGAATGGTCAACATCTTGATCTAAGCATTTCCGAACTACAGCGCGGTCTTTGATTGGCTTCACAATAGCCACAACCCCTCTCCACTTGTTCCGAGGCGTACCTGGACCAGCAGGAGCTGGAGACAGTGGAGGAGGTGGTTCGCCGGCGCGCGGTCGGAGCTTGGTTCTTCGATCACAAGGATGCTTCTCTGGATGCTTGCCTTCCCTTGTTCCCACCGGACATCGAGCAGCAGCTGAGCTTCCAGGAAGGCTCCGAGCGCCTTGCCATCACCTTCACCTTCCCCTTTGCGGCGCAGGATCTCGACTTGGAGAACGTGGCCATCTCCGAGACCATCGTGCGGTGTGACGCTCTGCTGGCTCCGGAAGAGGCTGGCTCCATGCTGCTGGGCAAGAGTAGCGGCGGCGAAGTGGGCGACTTGCTGCGGCGTCTGGCATACCAGGCCAGGAGGTTCGAGCAGGCGGAGCTGTCTTGTGGCAGCCTGGCCGCTCTCGAGCACCTGGACATCGACTTTGCGGCCGAGGTCTCTGACATCGATGACGGCGTCTACGCCCCAATTGCGGCCAGCCGCTTCCTGCGGACCTGCATGCGGCTGGGTCCCTGTTAGTCAGCTCTCCGGGAAAGAGATGCCATGTCTGATCGCCACACTGGCGATCATAGTGCAAACATGATAATACTCAGAATGTCATATCAGAAAGTCGCAGTCGTGGTACTTCTAGTTAAACCAGTTACAATCATAATCGTAGTCATATCCATCACAACCACAAGATTAAGTTAAGATAGTAAACCAAATGTCTAAGAATATTGTAGTATGGAAATTAATAGAATAAGATAGCCTAGAAATATACTGACATCATAATATTTGTAATACAGTAGTATGCTGCTGGCCCAAGGCATTTGGTCGACCGGCAAGTCGGGAAACGCCTGCGCGGCAGCCTTGCGTGGACTGCACTGCTGAAGCCCAGTTGCTGTTGAGATTCGGGTTTGGGGGCTTAGGGGTTTAGGGGTTTAGGGGTGTAGGGGTTTGGGGGTTTAGGGGTTTGGGGGTTTAGGGGTTTCGGGGCTTAGGGGTTTAGGGGTTTAGGGGTTTAGGGGTTTAGGGGTTTGGGGGGTTTAGGGGGTTTGGCGGGTTTAGGGGGTTTAGGGGGTTTAGGGGGTTTAGGGGGTTTAGGGGGTTTAGGGGGTTTAGGGGGTTTAGGGGGTTTAGGGGGTTTAGGGGTTTAGGGGTTTAGGGGTTTCGGTTCTTGAAACCCGCCAGAACTACCCGAAATCGTACACCCTCATATCGGGACCGCCGAGTCCGGCTTTCTCAGCCGAACGTAGGGTGTTTTACAAGGAGGCTTGGGTGTAGACCCTAGGCCCCTAAACCCCAGACGTGGCCTTCCAAACAACCACTCAAGGAAGGCCGACACCTCAAAGCCGCCAGACGCGCCGCCAGCTCTTCATGTCCAGCACACGCACCTCGAGCTGGGTGTGATCACCCAAACCCCTAAACCCTGAAACCCTAAACCTCATGAAGCTCTGTAAATACCCGTGTATTTACAGAATGACACCATAGTGCTTTTCTAACGCGCACCCATGCAAGATTCATGGCCTCTTAAGCCCAAGAGGGGGGTTTCCGAGATTCGGGGCACCTTCTTGATTATAAGGAAGTCCTACTATCTGGGGTCGAATATTGGGGTCCCTTATTTTCGTAAAGTCCAAAGAAGGGAGAATGTGAAATATGGGATGCGGATCAAAAAAATATATATTTGGGATCAAGAAAAAATTTATTTAGGTTCAAAAATAATTTGTTTAGGATCAAGAAATAATTTATTCTGCTCTTCCGACGGGGAGGGAGGGTGAGAAGGAGGGAGGGAGGGAAGGAAGTGCGGAAGGAAGGAAGCAAGGAAGCAAGGAAGCAAGGAAGCAAGGAAGCAAGGAAGCAAGGAAGCAAGGAAGCAAGGAAGCAAGGAAGCAAGGAAGCAGGGAAGCAAGGAAGCAAGGAAGCAAGGAAGCAAAGAAGGAAGGAAGAAAGGAGGGAAGGAAGGAAGGAAGAAGTCAAGAAAGAAAGACAAACAGTAAAAAGGAATAAATAGCAAAAGAAAGAAAGCAAGGAAGAAATCGTGCCAGCTTGCTTCAAAGCATACGCATCTTTTCGAAACCCATTATGCGAGCATTGTGTTTGCAAATAGGGGGGCCCCCCCCACAACCCCCCGCTTTTTTAAAGTCGTGCCAGCTTGCTTCCAAGCATACGCGTCTTTTCGACGCCTCTGATGCGAGCGTTGTGTCTGCAAATTGGGGGGGAGGGGGGGGCCCCCCCAACCCCCCCGAATTAGAGAAAGTCGTGCCAGGTGCTTCATCATACTTTCGAAACCCATGATGCGAGCCTTGTGTTTGCGCATGGGGGGGGGGGGCGCCCCCCCCCAATCCCCCGCTCTTTCTTTAATCGTGCTTGCTTCAGAGCATACGAGAAACTTCTAATGCCAAGATGCCAGCATTGATTTGCAGCCTCTGGAAGCTCAGAAATGCTGCTATTTACAGTATTTCCAGCCTCTGAAAGCGCAGAAATGCTGGTATTTACAGCATCTGCAGCCTCTGAAAACTCAGAAATGCTGCGGGGTACAGCTCTGAAAGCACAGAACTGCTGCTTTGATTTTAGTATCTTCAGCCTCTTTAGAAACTCAGAAATGCTGCTGTTTTCAGCAGTTCCCGCATAGCTGCTGTGTTTTTTTCGGTATTCAGAGCTTGCGAACGGCCAGAAATGCTGCATTTCTGAGCGTTTACAGCCTCCGCTCCGCTTGCAACAGGCCTTCGAAGCCTTCAGTAAATCATTTTTTGATCCCAAATAAGTTTTTTTGATCCGCCTATAAATAAATTATTTTTTGATCCCAAATAAATTTATTTTGATCCCCTACCCGTGAAATATCCCAAGGGCCTACCTGATAAACCCTAAACCCCAAACCTTAAACCCTTAACCCTACCATTCTCTTGTATTATGAAGGGATTGTAGAATGCTCTTGACGATGATTACAAATTTGCTGCTATTCGTCATAGTCAGACTGTATGCTCTCCATCCTCTCTCGAAACCGTATAGATAGGTCTGCTCTCTGGGCATTGAACATTGTACAGTATGGTCAACTTGAGGGGCCAGCGTGTGCTTGAAGCCTTTCTTGGTTGGTTGAGCCCTTGCAGGAGTTTGATGAACAACAGTAGCCTTCATTCGCAAAATATGCGAGAGAAAGCCTCTAAGGCCCTAATTCCTTCAACCCTAAACCCTAAACCCTACCCCGAAGAGCGCAAAGGCACGGGCGGCCCGACCCGTCCACCTGGAAGGTCATCGAGCGGCTCCTGCGCGTGAAGCCCGAAGAGCGGAGCAAGCCCATTTCCGTGCCCATCATCCTCCAGGTCAGGTTTGGGGCTTCGGGGTGAGGACTTGAAGATTAACTGGGGTCGATATGGCCTGGGGTTTGGGATTTAGGGTCTAAGATGTTTGCGTGTGAGCTGCAGAAGTCAAGTTCCTAAACGCTAAGCCCTAAGCCCTAAGGCCTAAACCCTAAGCCCTAAGCCCTAAGCCCTAAACCCTAAGTGTTGTAAGGATTTCCTGTCCAGGCGCTGCGGGAAATCCTGCGGCAGCCGGAACTTTCCTATGCCGTCCGGCAGGGCTTCCAGTCGTCGTTCCTTCGCCGCCTGCGCGTGGTCCTCCCCCGTGCCTATTATGAGGCAGGAACACCCTAAACCCTAACCCTTAACCCTTAACCCTAAACCCTAAACCCTTAACGCCCGAACCCAGCCAAATCACAAAGCCCTGCTGCCCCCAACGACCTAAGTCCACTCCGAAACCGACTCCCTTAGCCCTGAAAGTACAGGCTTTATGTAGGGTTTAGGGTTTAGGGTCTAGGGAGGAGCCTTGAATCCCAGTAGTTCCCCAGGTCACGGAGGAAGGCGCCGGATGCGAGGAGTCCGCAGCGTTCATGATCAGTTGCAGGGTCGTCTTGAAGCCATTGATAGCAAGCCTGCCCCAGAAACCGTAGACCCAAAACTGCCCTCAACCCTACACCCCTAAACCCTAAGCCCTAAACCCTAAACCCTAAGCCCTAAACCCGAAAGCCTCTACGTGCTGGAAGAAGGACCCGCCGATCTTCCACGCGACGGCCCCGCTGCAGCGGCACCTGGACATCCTCGGCATGCGGGCACTGAAGTGGGGGGCAGTTGCAGAAGGAGGGTTTAGGGTTTAGGGGTTTAGGGGTTTAGGGGTTTAGGGTTTAGGGTTTAGGGTTTTGGGTTTTGGGGTCTAGGGGTTTAGGCACGGTTTTGGGTTTCGGGTTTAGGCAATCCTACTATTCAACTATTCAACCCTAGGGTCTGAGCTGGATTGTCACTCTAAACCCGAAACCCTCAACCCCAAAACCCTGAACCCCTGGACCCTAAACCAGGTGCCAGCTGGGATGGAGGGCCTCTTGCGATCACCTGCGCCTCACGCGCCGCGAGTTGGCGGAGGCAGTTGCCAGAGCAAACGCCCGCTTGGAGTCGCAGAAATTCGGCCTCTACATCTTCAGGACTCCGCACCATAGCTCTGAAGCAAACACCCCTCAACCCTAAACCCGCAACCCTGAACCCTGAACCCTGACCAAACCCCAAACCCTTCAGGACCATCTGCCGCATGAGGGAGCTCTCCGACCACAGCCATCGCATCTTCGATGCCGTCGTCGGTGCCGTCGGGCCGACCTACATCAACGTCCTGATCCCTTCTCCCAGCCTCGACGTGCTTGAGCTGAAAGTGCCCGTCGACGCGCTCTGCAGTTCGACCTGTGCCTTTGTGGCCCAGTGGTACCCATTTGCCCATTTTTTCGTTTCCAGGTTCCCTTCTAAACTACCCAACCCCCCCAAAAAGGGTACCTCATTATGATATGGCTACTTGGCTACCAAGGTGTGTCAGAGTACGATGCCACCACGCAGTCCATCAAGCTAACTATGTCCCACAGCTCGCATGCCGGAGACGTCCGGCTGCTTCACATTCGGCCCCCTGGAGCCGCACTCAGCAAAACATAGTTGCTGGGGGGGTTTAGGGTTTCGGGTTTAGGATTTAGGGTCCAGGGTCTAGGGTCTTTCAATTCAGGCTCGAGGGTTACGGCTGCATCTTCTTTACCTTTTCTACAACTCTCTTTTCCTCTTCATCAGGGTTTAGGGTTTAGGGTTTAGGGTTTAGGGTTTCCTTGCCCAGGTCCTGGCACGGCCACATGCTCACCTGCACCATCTCAAGGAACTTCGCCCAGCCCATCCCTCACCATGCCAGCCCCAGCTCCATCGTGATCAGCGAGCTGACTTTCCACGAGGACCCGCGACCAAGATACATGCATGACGCGTGAACTCAAGTGAACCACAGGCAACAATGGGAAAGGAATGCAGATAGCAAGGTGCAGCAAGACCCCTCTGCGATGATCATCTCACCTATCATCCTACGAAATTCATGCCATCGCATTAGTTTGCTTGTTACACGAGCCAACAAGAATGATGCACAAAAGGCGCCCAATGCTACATTCATAAAGACATGACCGCGAGAAAACACACTTAGATGTACGCGGTCACGACTTCACTTCGTGCATCATTGCTTGTTTTTATCGGGTTTGCGCTTCTGTGGGAGTTTGTAAAATTGAGGGTCCCCCTTAATTAAACCCTCCCCCCTCAAGCAGGCATGTGCGAACCCTTGCTAGAGGAACGCCAGATATATGTCCCTAAGTTTCGGAGCCCTAATCAACTAGCCAAAGCTCCTAAACCCTCAACCCTAAGCCCCAAGGCCTAAACCCTCATCTCAAGGACCTGGAAACTGAGATCTCGTTTGCGGTGGGCCAGAAAATGTTCCTCAGACAGAGATGGGGACAAGATGCGTGTATGTTTGGGCGGAGCCTTCCCTGACAGGGTGAAGCCCCAACTTCTTTTAGCCTGCCTGGGGCTTAGCGTTTGCCGAGAGCGTAGCCCATATGTGGGTTTCCGAAATTTGGGGGTGCCATATTGGGGTCCTTATTTTAAGGGGACTCCTACTCCTGCGGGTCTATTTTAGGCCCCATATTTTTTTTGGAAATACCCATATAGATGTCTGAACTATACCCAGGAATGGTATGGACTTTGCTTCCTGCTATTGTAGGGATCAAGGTCGGAGAAACCTTCAACCTAAAATCTGAACCCTAAACCGCTAACCCTAAACCCCCCAAACCCACAAAAACTCCTCAAGTTTAAGAAGCCCCAAAACGTCTACCCCTTCTAAAGCCCTAACCCCTCATCCCCCCTAAACCCTAAGCCCTTCGTCCCCCTAAACCCTACACCCGAGACCTTAAACCCTTAATCCTCCTGAACCCTAAAGCCCGCCCTGAAAAACCCTTACCCTAAACCCTAAAGCCTAAACCCGAAACCCGAAACCCTAAACCCTAAACCCTAAACCCTAAACCCTAAACCCTAAACCCTAAACCCTAAACCCTAAACGCTAAACCCCGCCTAGGTTCCCCGAGATGTTCTCATCCTGGCCGGACCTCAGCGACTGGGCCAGCTTAGATCGCCGCGTGGAGACCTACTCCAAGCTCTGGGCCCGGGTCAAGTCCTGCCAGGTGGTCGGCTTCCGGGGGTTTAGGGTTTAGGGCTAGGGTTTAGGGTTTAGGGTTTAGGGTTTAGGGTTTAGGGTTTAGGGTTTAGGGTTTAGGGTTTAGGGTTTAGGGTTTAGGGTTTAGGGTTTAGGGTTTATTAGGGTTTATTAGGGTTTATTAGGGTTTATTAGGGTTTATTAGGGTTTATTAGGGTTTATTAGGGTTTAGGGTTTTAGGGTTTTAGGGTTTTAGGGTTTTAGGGTGTTAGGGTTTTAGGGTTTTAGGGTTTTAGGGTTTTAGGGTTTTAGGGTTTTAGGGTTTTAGGGTTTAGGGATTAGAGTTTTAGGGCCCTCTAATCTTTTGGCAAGGCGCTTTTGTTTGTGTCAGAGTAGATTACAGAGCATATTGTCGTATATAGGCCTGTCGGGCGGATTCCCGCCCCCGCCCCCCCTCCCCCCCCGATGTCGGGTTTGAGGTGTAGGATTCCTAGGGTTTCGGAATAAAAGCCCCCCAAACCCAAACCTAAACCCTTAAACCCGAAGTCCGAAACCTAAGTAATTGGGAGCTCCTGAACCCCGGAGCCTGAGCCGTATTCCTGACCCTTGAATTTGTTGGAATGAGTCTAGGCCTAAAGTTGTATCCCAGCAGGCGATGGTTTTGAGCTACAGTTCGCTTGGTTTAGGGGTTTAGGGTTCAGGGTTTCCGGGTGATGCAGTGTTCTAAACTCTCTCTATCATATAATAATTTAAACCTTAATGGGGAACGTGGCCATTGGCAAAAAAACCGTGGCCATTGGCAAAAAAACCGTGGCCATTGGCAAAAAAGCCGTGGCCATTGGCAAAAAAGCCGTGGCCATTGGCAAATTCGCCAATGGCCACGGGAAAGTTGCCAATGGCCACGGCTTTTTTGCCAATGGCCACCAATGTCATTAAGGTTGGTCGCCAAAATGGGTTTTTCAAACCCAATTCGCACAAAATGCCCCCCAACCTTAATGGAGAACGTGGCCATTGGCAAAAAAGCCGTGGCCATTGGCAACTTTTCGGGCTTTTTGCCAATGGCACGGCTTTTTTGCCAATGGCCACGTTCCCCATTAAGGTTGGGCCCCAACCTTAATGGGGAACGTGGCCATTGGCAAAAAAGCCGTGGCCATTGGGAAGTGGCATTTGCCAACGGGAAAGTTGCCAATGGCCACGGCTTTTTTGCCAATGGCCACGGCTTTTTTTGCCAACCCCACCACCCCCCCCACCCCCCCCCCCCCACCCCCCCACCCCCCCACCCCCCCCCCCCCACCCCCCACCCCCCCCCCCCCCCCACCCCCCACCCCCCACCCCCCCCCCCCCCCCCCCCCCCACCCCCCACCCCCCCACACCCCCCTCACCCCCCCCCCACCCCCCCCACCCCTGCGCCCCCACCACCCCCCCCCTCCCCCTTCTCTGCCCCCCCCCCCCCCTCGACCCCCCCCCCCCCACTCGACACCCCCCCCCATGCCCTCCCTTCCCTCTTCTGGCCCAGACCCCCATTCTGGGCTTGAAAACCTGGGTCTGGGCCAGATCAAGATGAAGGCTTTGCGGGGGGCCGGGCAACGCGGCAGCCCCCTCGTCTTGGGTGGTCCGAGGGTGGGGTGGGGAAAAGCAACTTCCGGACCCCCATTCTGGGGTTGGAGCACGAAGGGAGGGGACATACGACAAACCTCGAAAATAAACCCGTACATTTCTCAATGTTTTGGGATTCTCTGCAAGCAGAAGAAAAGGGACATACGACAAAGCCGACGAGCACGAAGGGAGGGGACATACAACAAACCTCTGAAAATAAAACCTCAGTTTCTTAATTCTTGGGATTCTCTGCAAGCAGACAAAGAGGGACATACGACAAAGCCGACGAGCACGAAGGGAGGCGACATACGACAAAATCTAAGAGCACGAAGGGAGGGGCCGTACGACAAACCTGTAGACCTCTCATCAAACCCTACGAGCATGAAGGGAGGGACATACGACAAACCCTACGAGCACGAAGAGAGGGGACATACGACAAACCTCTAGGCCTCTCATCAAACCCTACGAGCAGGAGCCAACATGAGGCGAGGTCACGGGGCACTAATTGCAAAGCAACCATGTGGAAGCCAGGCAGCTTAAAGTGTGCCAAACACAACCAACAAGACGGCCAAAAATAGGCAGGGTCACCGGGGAAAACGAACACGAGCAAAGTGAATATGAGCAGAAAGAGAACGAATACGAGCAGACTGACGTCGAGCAGAGAGAGAACGAAGACGAGCAGAATGAATACGAGCAGAAAGAGAATGAGTACGAGCAGACTCAGTACGAGCAGAAAGACAGCGAAAACGAGCGGACTGAAATCGAGCAGAGAGCGTGCAGAAAAAGCACGAATACGAGCAGAAAGAGAACGAACGCGAGCAAAATGAATATGAGCAGAAAGAGAACGAATACGAGCAGAATGATTACGAGCAGAGAGAGAACGAAGACGAGCAGACTGAAATCGAGCAGAGAGAGAGAGAGAGAGAGAGCGAATACGAACAGAATGAATACGAGAAGAAAAGCAACGAAAACGAGCGGACTGAAATCGAGCAGAGAGAGAACGAATACGAGCAAAATGAATACGAGCAGAACGAGAACGAACACGAGACGAGCAGATCAGAAAAAGAACGAATACGAGCAGAATGAATACGAGCAGAAAGAAACGCATACGAGCAGAATGGAAACCAAGCAGAATGACAAAAAACACGAGCAGAATGAATAAATGAGGTTGGAGGACAGGCCCCCCTTCCCTCTTCTGGCCCAGACCCCCATTCTGGGCTTGAAAGCCTGGGTCTGGGCCAGATCAAGATGAAGGCTTTGCGGGGGGCCGGGCAACGCGGCAGCCCCCTCGTCTTGGGTGGTCCGAGGGTGGGGTGGGGAAAAGCAACTTCCGGACCCCCATTCTGGGGTTGGAGCACGAAGGGAGGGGACATACGACAAACCTCTAAAATAAACCCGTACATTTCTCAATGTTTTGGGATTCTCTGCAAGCAGAAGAAAAGGGACATACGACAAAGCCGACGAGCACGAAGGGAGGGGACATACTGCAAGCTGACAAAGAGGGACATACGACAAAGCCGACGAGCACGAAGGGAGGCGACATACGACAAAATCTAAGAGCACGAAGGGAGGGGACGTACGACAAACCTGTAGACCTCTCATCAAACCCTACGAGCATGAAGGGAGGGACATACGACAAACCCTACGAGCACGAAGAGAGGGGACATACGACAAACCTCTAGGCCTCTCATCAAACCCTACGAGCAGGAGCCAACATGAGGCGAGGTCACCGGGGCACTAATTGGAAAGCAACCATGTGGAAGCCAGGCAGCTTAAAGTGTGCCAAACACAACCAACAAGACGGCCAAAAATAGGCAGGGTCACCGGGGAAAACGAACACGAGCAAAGTGAATATGAGCAGAAAGAGAACGAATACGAGCAGACTGACGTCGAGCAGAGAGAGAACGAATACGAGCAGAATGAATACGAGCAGAAAGAGAATGAGTACGAGCAGACTCAGTACGAGCAGAAAGACAGCGAAAACGAGCGGACTGAAATCGAGCAGAGAGCGTGCAGAAAAAGCACGAATACGAGCAGAAAGAGAACGAACACGAGCAAATGAATATGAGCAGAAAGAGAACGAATACGAGCAGAATGATTTTAAGCAGAGAGAGAACGAAGACGAGCAGACTGAAATCGAGCAGAGAGAGAGAGAGAGAGAGAGCGAATACGAACAGAATGAATACGAGAAGAAAAACAACGAAAACGAGCGGACTGAAATCGAGCAGAGAGAGAACGAATACGAGCAGAATGAATACGAGCAGAACGAGAACGAACACGAGACGAGCAGATCAGAAAAAGAACGAATACGAGCAGAATGAATACGAGCAGAAAGAAACGCATACGAGCAGAATGGAAACCAAGCAGAATGACAAAAAACACGAGCAGAATGAATAAATGAGGTTGGAGGACAGGGCTTGCTGAGGAAAAATGAGAACTTTATATTTCTTAATGTTTTGGGATTCTCTGGGTGGGTGGGTTTTTTTCTAGAGTCCAGACAGCGGCTCTACTAGAGATTGCTCGACCCAGAGCTGCTGAACCCTAAACCCTAAACCCTAAACCCTAAACCCTAAACCCTAAACCCTAAACCCTACCCTAAACCCTAAACCCTAAACCCTAAACCCTAAACCCTAAACCCTAAACCCTAAACCCTAAACCCTAAACCCTAAACCCTAAACCCTAAACCCTAAACCCTAAACCCTAAACCCTAAACCCTAACCCAAACCCTAAACCCTAAACCGCTCAACAGGTGCATGCTGCGGCGGTTTCAGGCGCTGCCTACACGCCCTTGGCGGACGTTTGGGGCCTGGAGTGGTGGACGGAGAGCCGCAAGTGCTACTTCCAGTGTCAGGTGGGTTTGAGGTTTAGGGTTTAGGGTTTAGGGTTTAGGGTTTAGGGTTTAGGGTTTAGGGTTTAGGGTTTAGGGTTTAGGGTTTAGGGTTTAGGATTTTGCAAATTGCATCTCGTGGTCTCATTGTTGTCAGCATCATTATACCATGTTGGTGGCTGCCGATTCCAGCAAGTCTTTGTAGAGCTTCGAGCTGGAGACTTATACTGGACGACCCCTCAAAGCCCCCAACCGTCCGAAACCCTAGCTCATATAGGGGCCTTCAGAATTATAACAGGGCTTGGGGTTATAAGCGTATTTTTCTAGAGGAACCGGGCTGAAAGTCCACGGGAGTCGGCGGGGCCGGGGGCTCGCATTGCTCCCATGCTGTCGCACCACCATGGATTGGGTTGGCTTAGGCGTTCATCCCTCGCATGAGTTAGATTTTCGGGGTCAGGCGAAAGGTTGGCAGTGTAGGTATTGCAGGCTGGTCATTCGCCCGCATGGAGGTGAGAGCTCCTGGCAACGCTTGGCTAGGGTGTGTCGTAAATCCTAATCCCCTATGTAGTACAGCTTCGCTGTGTTTTCTTTCAAAAAAAAATCTAGAGGAACCAAGAGGGAATGCTTCTAGCAGTTCTTCCGACCCTGCACCATAAGCCCCCCCCCCCCCCCCAAACCCTGGCTTCACAAGAGCGCCACCCCGATGATCGCAGGTTGACGTCCAGCTGTCGGAGTATCAGTGGCTCCAGCCAGGAGTGGGCCGGCCCTAAACCGATCTAAACCAAACCTTCAGCACCAAACCCTAAAGCCCTGAACCCTAAACACGAGACTCTAAGACCCGGAGCCCTCAACCCGAAACACCTAAACTCCCCAACCCCCCGAACCCCAAAACCTCGTACCGGAAGCCCCACAACCCCAAGGCCCTTAGTCCCTGCTACATCGAAACCCTAAACCCTGAACTCCGAACGCACCAAGCCTTTGAAACCACATACAGCCCCCAAGAACCCTCAGCCCGCAAAACCCAAGAAGTCCTGAAGCCCAACAAACCTCCAAAGACTCAACACCCTACAAAACCTAGATTACCTGAAGCCCGAAACCCTAAACCCTAAACCCTAACCCGAAACCCCAAACCCCAAACCCCAAACCCCAAACCCGAAACCCTAAACCCTAAACCCTAAACCCTAAACCCTAAACCCTAAACCCTAAACCCTAAACCCTAAACCCTCGGAGGAGACCTGGCGGTCCTCAGCTGCGAGCGGGGCGACGCGGTGGTCGTCCTCCAGGGCTGCCTGCAGAAGGCCCCCTTTGGGGTTTAGGGTTTCGGGTTTGGGGTTTAGGGTTTAGGGTTTAGGGATTAGGGTTGAGGGTTGAGGGTTTAGGGCTTGGGGTAGTTTGGGGTTTAGGGTTTAGGGAGCGTTTGTGGCTATTTTAGGCTAGTGTTTCGGGTTTAGGGAGCCGAATCCGGTGTTTAGGGTTTAGGGTTTCGGGATTCGTGTTTAGGGTTTAGAGTTTAGGGTTTCGGGTAGGGCTTTTACAACTGGACCATGAGGTAGAAACTGCTGCTGAACGCTATTAGCCCAGCTCACGGATCGCTTCTAAGGGTGAACTCTGCTTCCCATTTCTTTCGTTCCATATGAGGCCAGGGAGGGGCGGAACCCACCGGGACAGCTCCGCGTTGCCGGGCAGCGGCAGCAGCGCTTCAGCGTGGAGGCCTTTGGGAGGGCGCTTCTTGAAGTTTAGGGTGTAGGGTGTAGGGTTAGGATGTTCCTCCTTGTACTAACAGTCCTTATCAGGGATTATAATAGGGGGTACGATAATCCCTATTAAGGACTGTTAGTATAAGGGGGACATTTCAAGTGTATGGTTTATGGTTTAGGGTTTTAGTTTTAAGGTTTAAGGTTTATCTTTTGGGGTTTAGGGTTTAGAGTTTGGGGGTTGGGGTTCGGGGTTTAGGGTTCGGCGTTAACAAAACCCCCGACGCCTTCACACCCAACACCCCGAACCCTATGTCCCTGAAGCTCTAAGATCTTCCGAGTTTAGGGTTTAGGGTTGAGGGTTTAGGGTTTAGGGTTTAGGGTGTCGTGTTTAGGGTTTAGGGTTTAGGGTTTAGGGTTTAGGGTTTAGGGTTTAGGGTTTAGGGTTTAGGGGACCTGCTGCAAGGTGGAGCTGTCCGAGATTGCCCAGCTCGCCCGGGACAGCCAGGATCGTTTCATGGATGCCAGGGTTAATTGTGGTTACCCTAAACCCTAAACCCTAAACCCTAAACCCTAAACCCTAAACCCCAAACCCCAAACCCTAAACCCTAAACCCTAAACACTATGAGGCTTCATGGTTACCCATACAGGAACGGACGTAGATGGCAGGTTTTAGGGTTCGCCCTTCTCTGAGTATACGCCACCGAGTAGCCTTATCATTGATGAGACAGACCCTAAACCCTAACACCTCCAAACCCCCGAACTGCCTTCTGGGGCTGTATGCTTAAGGAGCACGATGCTCTTCTGAATATGAGAAACGGTAGCTTCAAAAAGGCGAGCCGACCTAGAGCAACCGAGCCCTGATCAAAACCCTCCCTTTCAAGCACTCTTTTCGAGGGCCCCGAAGCCCGAAAGATCCCTGCTCTGTGCAATCTCAGAGGAAGCCACTGTAGTGGCCGCGACAGCTTTCCGCATTTACTTCATCCTTGTGCCGGCGAACGAGAAGTGGATGGGCATCAATGAGGTTTGGGGCAGTGGATTGGGCGTGTGACGTGTGCCGTGTGACGTGTGTCTGTCTGTCTATCTGTCCGTCTTTGTGTGTCTGTGTGTGTCTCTGTGTGTGCAGTAACACCACTGTCACTGCTGCCTCTTGTTTTTCTTAATGTCTTGCGCAGCGAAAATGGCTTTTCAAGTTACCGCAAGGTCTCTCTCTCTCTCTCTTTGTCTTTCTCTCTTGGGTTGGAAGGCTTTTTACGTTTGTTCATGTTTGATGCGTCGCGTTCGTGGGCTGTTCCTTCCCTTCCTCCAAGGTGCCCCCAATTTCTGCCAAGCTTTCTTAAACCCAATCGCTGCAAGAGCCTTCCAAGCACCTTGCACAATCTGGTTAAGGCTGTGGGACACCTAAACCACTCGTAAACCTAAAGTCGGCCCCTCACCAGCCCTCCAGGCCCTTGGAAGCCTCCAATTCTGGAAAATCATGTTTCTGCCCTCAAAACTTGTGCTCTACAAAGGATAGGTGATGGAGGTTTGCCGCCTGAGACGGAGTGGGGTGGTTGAAAGTGTTAGATGGCACTAGTAGCTGCCTGTGGCATGTTATCCCTAAACCCCAAAACCCAAAACCCTCAACCCCAAACCCTTAAGCCCAATCCTGAACCAACCCTCAAGCCCAAACCCTAACCCTTAAACCCTAAACCCTAAACCCTAAACCCTAAACCCTAAACCCTAAACCCTAAACCCTAAACCCCGAGCCCCCAAACCCTAAACCCAAGGAAGAGCATCCACCTGCTGCAAGCACTCCCGAGCTCGCCGCCGCTGCAGGGCATGCGCCTCACCATGCCCCGCACTCCCAGGCCTAAACCCTAAACCCTAAACCCTAAACCCTAAACCCTAAACCCTAAACCCTAAACCCTAAGCCCCAAACCCCCAAACCCTAAACCCAAAACTATGCAGAAGGGCTCCTTTCTTAACATGACTGTGATTATGATTATGGTCATGACTCTGAATCTGATGAGGAGGGTGATGATGATTGTCATTCAATACCCCAGTCTAGGGCCCAACGCCCTGGTCTAGTTTTGAGGGTTTAGGGTTCAGGGAAAGTATAGGGTGTCTTTGTAGGCAGACTCCAAAGCTTAGCCCCTAGGCTCGGCGCTTTGTTTCTCGGGTGTTCAGAGTTCAGGGTCTGGGGCTTCCAGGCCCCTCCTAGACCCTAAACCCTAAACCTCAAACCGCAAACTTAAAACCCAAAACCCTTGAACCCCAAACCTCAAACCTGCGCTACCCTGAGGCCTAAACCCCAAGACTTCCTTCGTCGTATGCCAGGCAGCAGCAGTGGGCCACGGAGCTGCGACCGCTGGCCACAAGGGAGCAGGCGGGAAGACGTCGAGGGCCCAGGTAGTTTTCTTTTGGTTGTTTCGGGTTTTATGGAATAAGGGTTTGGGGTGTTTTTTGGGGGTTTAGAGTTTTAGGGTTTCGGTTTGCAATGGTATTTGGTGTTTAGGAATTTAGGGGCTTACGGTTTAGGTTAAAGGGAAATCTTGTTAAGAGTTTCTTTAGGGCTTTCGGCTTTGAGATTCAAGGTGTACCCGTTCATCCAAGCTTCATTGCGTGCCCTCTGCCGCGCAGGTCTTCGGGGCCTTGCGCGACTCCGCGAGCAAGGTGCTCCGGTGGGGCCGGGTAGGCAACTTAGGCACCTTCCTGAGCTCCAGGTGTAGGGCTGTACCCAGAGTACAGTACCCAGAGTAACCTCACGTATTGCGTAGAATTCTCACTTTCTTCAGAGGGCATAAAGATGACGCAGCACCCAGGCCAGAGGGGAGGTTCAGGCTTTTTAGGGTCTTTACGCCCCCCCTCCCTGAGGTGCAAAATGGGAGTAACCTCAACGAACGCCAGACGACGGCCCTCCAGCCCCTGGGCTGTTGGACGTTTCTGGGCTTGGGGCTTCAGAAGGGGCTTGCAGGGCTTTCGGAGTTTCAGGGGTGCACGGGTCTCTGAAGAGCTCAGGACATCTGGGCCTTTAGAAGCCTGATAATTTTCCTTTGTGAGGACTCTGAGGGCTGTGAGGGTTAAGGGGGCCAAAAGGAGGGATTGTGCCAGGGGGCGATTTTGGGGCTTCTGAGAGGGTTCTTGGCTCCTTTGTGCCGAGGCGCGGGCTCCAGCGCCCCTTCTCCATGGTCCAGGCACCTGCGCATGTTGTTTGCTACCCCCCCAGCAATTCCGAAAGCCCAACCTACCTTGAATCCAAGTCGTGACTAAAGCCTAGACCCTAAATCCCTAATCCCTAAACCCTTAACCCTAAACCCTAAGCCTTACAACCCCATCCCTCTGCCCCTAACCCCCAAGCCCTAAATCCCAAGTCGAACAGCCGAGCCAAGAATCTCGAAAACCCTGAACCCTAAACCCTGAACCCTGAACCCTAAACCCAAAACCCTGAACCCTGAACCCTGAACCCTAAACCCTGAACCCTAAACCCAAAACCCTGAACTCTGAACCCTGAAGCCTGAACCCTAAACCCTAAACCCTAAAACCCTAAACCCTAAACACTGAACCCTAAGCCCTAAACACCCCAAATCCTAATGAACCCTAAACACCTAAGCTCTAAACCGACACCCAAGCCCGACTGAAAGCTCCTGAACGGTGCCAGGGCCCTCCGGGGACGGGCAAAACCTCCTTCCTGGTGCACCCCAGCCAGAATTCTTTAGGATTCAGGGGGGTTTAGGGTTTAGGGTTTAGGGTTTAGGGTTTAGGGTTTAGGGTTTAGGGTTTAGGGTTTAGGGTGTAGGGTTTAGGAGGCTCACCAAGTATTTTTCCAACATGATCAGCGGGGGTTAAGGAAGTTCGCGGGGTAAGGGTTGCTTGAAGTGGTCCTGCTTCTTGCCCCCTTGGGGCTGACAGACGTGCGCCTGCTGCTGGTTTGTTTTTTTGTACACTGCTGCAGCAGGGGATGGGAGAGTGAACGTCTTCAGCCCCTATGAAGGAACCCTTATGAACTACAGCCCTGAGCCCTTGACCACAAAACTGCGACACCGGGTGCCGGAATCCACACTTTAGGACACGGATCTTCGCTCGGCCCGCCGCGTTTAAGCGCCCCACCTTAAACCCCAAACCACAAACCCCAAACTACCCCAAAACCCCAAACTCCAAACCCCATAAACCCCAAACTCAAACCCTAAACCCTAAAGCCTAAACCCTAACACCCCACACCCCACACCCCACACCCCACACCCCACACCCCACACCCACACCCCACACCCCACCCCCCACACCCCACACCCCACACCCCACACCCCACACCCCAAACCCCAAACCCCAAACCCCAAACCGAAAACCCCAAACACCAAACCCCAAACCCCAGACCCCAAACCCCAAACCCCAAACCCCAAACCCCAAACCCCAAACTCAAACCCTAAACCCTAAACCCTAACTAAACCCTAAACCCTAAACCTTAAACCCAAACCTTAGAACAGCTCAGGCAGTTCATCGTGGCGGCACTCTCCGTGCGCAGCCCGTGGGCCAGACCCGATCTGGGCCGGATCCTGGTCCGGGCTCCGAAACAGTGTTGGTTGGGGGGGTTTAGGGTTTAGGGTTTAGGGTTTAGGGTTTAGGGTTTAGGGTTCAGGGCTTAGGGTTTAGGGTTTAGGGACCTGAAGGTGTTGAGGGCGCTGGCTTTCCCTTCCAGGTCTGCGCGCCTTCCAACCATGCGGCAGACCACCTCTTAGACCGCTTGATCAGCGACACGGACGTTCCAGCCCATCTGATCACGCGCGTCTACTCCCGGTTCATCGAGAGGGCCTACGGAAGCCAGTACAAAGGTGGGGGGGTTTCTTCTTAACAAGGGTGCCCTTTGTGCTACCAGCTCAGGACTTTGAAGCGCCGTACCTGCACCCCTTCCCCCCCTTGTGTTTGTTGATGTTCTTTGCAAAGTGCCCATAGCGATTCCTTAAAGGCCCCAAAGCGGAAGTGTAACTATGGCCGTTCTTACCGGCAAGTTGGAAGCCGAGGTAGGCCCAAGGCCTTTGAGTTCAGTCCCGACCACAGGCAGCTGCGCACACACCAGTACGCTCCCCAAGACACCCAAGTCACTCAAACCTCTACCGAGCCCCTGAGCCCCAGCAATTGCGCTCCCAAACCCTAAACCCTACACCCTAAACCGCCTAAACCGCCCAAACCCTAAACCGCCTAAACCCTAAACCGCCTAAACCCCAAGCCCTAAACCCTAAACCCTAAACCCCAAACCCTAAACCCTAAACCCTACAAACCCCTAAGTCAGGAGGCGCTTCGAGGATGGAGCGGTCCTTCGAGATCCAGCCGCACCTGGAAGAGCACGCGCTGCACTTCAAGGTGTGGTCATGTGGGTAATGTGGGTTTAGGGTTTAGGGTGCAGGGTGTAGGGTGCAGGGTATTGGGGTTGTAGGGTTTTGGGGTTTGTGGGCGCAGGGTTAAGGGCTTCTGGTTCAGGTTAGGGTTTAAGGTTTAAGGCTTCAAGGTTTGGGGGGTCAGGGTAAGTTCTGCCACCGTGTCTTCGGTTTGAGGGCCTGCTTTGGGGTTTTGGGTTGGGATGTCTTTGGGGTCCGTATTGCGGAATCCAGGGTAGTGTGGGATTGCGGTTTTGGGGCAAGTAAGAGACTGTTAGCGGAGTCTGGTGGTAGGACATGTTCCTTCCCGGACAGCGCAGGTCAACGACACGAGCCAGTTGAGGATGTCGCCCTCTCCTGCGCAGAATCAGAAGGCCTACAACAAGGGCTACGAGGAGGCGGAGGTGCGGATTAGGGTTTAGGCTTAGGGTTTAGGGTTTAGGGTTTAGGGTTTAGGGTTTAGGGTTTAGGGTTTTGGGTGCAGTGGTTTCCAGGTCCCTTGTTCTACACGGCACCGTATGTTCGGGGCACATCAAAAGAACGGGACCATCTCATTTCCGGGGTGATCGGGTAGTATTCATAGAAGTTCCAAGATCAACCGTTCAAGGCTTCCTGAGATTAGATGACACACGATACTATGATGCTCTTGGCCATGCCCTTCAGCGATCACAGGGTACATCTGGTGCACTTGGCACTCGATTTCACAGGTAACCGCATCTCAAAGGCAGAGCCTCTACTAGATATCCCATTTTTGAGGTTGGTTTCCTCATGAAGGAACTATGAAAAAGGTGCGAACAAGAGTGAGAACTGTGAACAAGAACAAACCAAAAGACACGGAAGTTATTCCTGATCCAATTGATGACAGGGAATCTTCCAGGAATTGAAATCTGGAAAGGATGGTCTTCTTCTTGCCCTAGCAGAACGACCGATCCTAAGAAGTGCATTTGGAAAAAGGTAAGAAGAATACGAATAAATATTAAATGTAGATGCAGCAGAGCAAGGTGTTACCGAAAAGTTCTAGAGCAGCACGAAACGCGACAAGTTTGTGCATTTTCCCTTTGTGCGTCTTGCAACACCTATCCTAAACCTTAGATCCCTTGGGATGTCCTAATTAGGGTTTAGGGTTTTCACGGACTCTTTGCCCTCCAACAGGCCCCACCAGACAGAAAATTGCCAGAAACGCCAGGTGAGGGTTCTGTGCCAGAGCAAGATCGTGATCACCACTTGTGCGAATGCCTACCTGCACACAGCCCTGATGCAAGGGGACCCGTTGCAGCGTTCCAATTCTGAAAGCTCGTTTGTGGCATTCTGCTAGTTCTGCAGTTCTACTTAACCGTCCTCAACCCCAAAACCTGTGCCGTAAGCCTCCTCGATCCCGAAACCCAGAAGCCCCAAAACCCGAACCCCGCAGCCCGCACTCCAATGGCCGCTTTCAACACCAGGACCCGCCTCGGATCATCCGGCCCGTGAAGTTCCTCAGTAGCTGAATGAGAACACTTTACACTTCTTGGGATACGACTACCCCTACATAGAACTGTTAGTGTGCAGCTTATGACATCATGGCAACTAAGGTTCGACACCATCGTCGTGGACGAGGCGGCCCAAGCCCCCGAGCCCGACGTGGTGCTGCCGTCGACCTGCGCCACGACGCGCGTGGTGGTGGTAGGCGGGGGGCGTCACCAGAGTGGGCCACCCCAAGGCCCTAACCCGAAGCGGGCAGCCGAACCTCCGATGAAAGCCGCGCCAGGAGATCACAAGCAGCTGGGCCCCGTCGTGCCCGAGCGGAACCTGTGCGCGCCTTACGTCAGCATTCTGGAGACGCCCTTCCTCGAGCGCATGCTCAAGAATCCGCGCCGTTGGGAGGCCGCCACGGGTTCAGGGACTGGGGATGACAAACGGCTGTGTGCACATGCAGTCTCCGGACATTGGCGTCGCTCCTAAACCCTAAACCCTAAACCCTAAACCCTAAACCCTAAACCCTAAACCCTAAACCCTAAACCCTAAACCCTAAACCTAAACCCTAAACCCTAAACCCTAAACCCTAAACCCTAAACCCTAAACCCTAAACCCTAAACCCTAAACCCTAAGCCCTAAGCCCTAAGCCCTAAGCCCTAAGCCCTAAACCCTAAACCCTAAACCCTAAACCCTAAAAGGCCAGCACGATGCTGAACATGCAGTACCGCATGCACCCGTCCATCCGGAGCTTCCCATCCTCACAGTTCTACGACTCCAAGCTTGAGGACCGCGTCTCCATCCCCCACCGGCCGGAGCTGAACCTCAGCCTTCGTCTGCTTAAAAGGGTTGAGGGATGATTCTGCGTAACCCTCGACTGTTGCTTTGAAAAGGGTTTCAGGGATGCTTCTTAGTAGAGTAGGTGACCTTTTATCCGTTTTGGGGTATTCTAATCCAAAGGTTCACCTTCAGTTCCCTTAACAATACTGGGACAGCTAATTCCTGGCGGGCCTGTTCACACCCGAGCCTCGGTCAACACCCCCCCCCCCCGCCTGTGGCAAGAAGCTAAGGAATTATTAGCATAGTCTTACTAGTGTTAGTAGCGTTCTTAGGATATGGTAGCTAAGGAATCGCATCTGGCCACAAGAGAACGAGCACCGGCGATTCATCGATTGCCAGACACCTCAGTCGCTGGGCCTGTCGCCGGAGCTCAACCGAGCTTGCGATGCAGCCCTGATGGAGAACAAGACCTCGCTCAAGAACGCTGCCCGCCACTGCCTGCTTCTGAAGCTTTTTCGGGGGGGTTGTTTCCCTAAGTCCTAAACTTTTAAACCCTAAACTTTTCACCCTGAACCAGAAACCCTGAACCCTAAACTTTCAAGCCCTTAACCCTAAACCCTGTGGAACATGTTGAGCTTCACACCCGCGGCCCCAGGTTGGAGAGGCCAGGGTGGCCGTGGCGCTCTGCTCCTTACTTCTTGGCCAAGGCCGATGCTCCGCGAAGGACATCGCCATCATCACGCCCTACCGAGCGCAGCAGTATCTTGGGAAACGATGTTCATTTTTGGGCCCTATAATTCCTAGGAAGCAGCTAAAACAGCTAAATCATAATCTTTGCCAGGGGCTCCTTTTTGGGGCACTATGATTCCTAAGCAACAGCCAAGATTTTGATTTTTGCTGGGGTTCCAGGTTCAGTGTAGGTATGAGATCCGGGGCAGGCTGCAGCGCGACATCGGTGAAGGCCCGAGAGCCCAAAGCTTCCTACAGCAAGCCTCTAGGGTTTAGGGTTTAGGGTTTAGGGTTTAGGGTTTAGGGTTTAGGGTTTAGGGTTGTAATTATGTAGGATGAGGTGGCCTAGCCAGTGCCCTCGCTTCCAAGTTTCTATCTGCGAGTTAAGCCCGCAGGTCCCGAAGCAAGAGTCGCAAAGCACCCAAGCCCACACAGCCCTCCCCCCTATACCCTAAACCTTAAACCCTCAACCGAAAACCCTACACCCCAAACCCTAAACCCTAAACCCTAGACCCTAGACCCTAGACCCTAAACCCTAAACCCTAAACCCTAACCCCTAAACCCTAAACCCTAAAACCCGAAAACCCAAAAACCCTAAAACCCTAAACCCTAAACCCTAAACCCTAAAACCCTAAACCCTAAACCCTTGCAGGTTCGAAGAGCATCCTGGTTGGCACCGTGCACTCCCTGCAGGGCTCCGAGCGCGACTTCATCATCATCAGCTTCGTGCGCAGCGTCGCAGACGATGTGCAGGACGTGGCCCCACCTATTCAGGCCCGTGTGCACCCAAGAACCCTAAACCCCAAACCCTAAACCCTAGACCCTAAACCCTAAACCCTAAACCTTAAACCCTCAAATAGGGCAGACGCAAGTTAGTTTAGACATAGACAAACAAACTTTTGGATAGCGCGGTTTCTGGGAAAGGTTTGTCTCGATACCCTGGCCAGAAACACAGGTTTCCCGCCAACGTTTGTTTCTCTGGCTAAACTAACTCGAGCCAGGGGAGTTAGTTAGGTTCCCTCCCTCCCCGAAACCATTGTTTCAAAGCTTGGTTTCCCGCAAACGTTTGTTTTCCCTCCCTCTCCGAAACAAAACGTTTGTTTTCCCTGGCTAGACTAACTCGAGCCAGGCGAGTTCGCCATCCCGCACATATAATGCTCATAATACTCCTGATACAAACAATATTCATGACACCAATCATCCGAAAAACGCCAAGAATGCTCATCATACAACCAATATGAATCATAAAAATCAAAAAATAATGATAACAATAAAAATGAAAATAATCATAATAATAATAATAATTTTAGTAATCATAATAAGAACAAGCATAAATAATACTAATAATACTAATCATAATCATAATAATACAAAATACAAAAGAATGCTTGGCGAGGCCGCCTCGCTCGGCGATTCGCTGGCCCTGCAGGAGCTGGTTCTTGGACCTTTGGGGTTCAGGCCTTTAAGGGATGAGGGCTTAGGGTTTATGGGGTTTAGGGTTTAGGGCTCAGGGTTTAGGGCTCAGGCCTTTAAGGGATTTTCGGGCTTAGGGCTTAGGACTTGGGCGTTTCTAAGGGTCTAGAGGTTTCGGGCTTGGGACGGTTAGGCTTCGGGGGGGTGTAGGGGTTGAAGGGTTGAAGGAGCTCTCAACTCCAAGTTTTGGGCCCGACCTTTCCATGCCGCTGAGCCCCAGGGCCTCCTATGGTTTTTTGCAGGGGGTTTAGGGTTTAGGGTTTAGGGTTTAGGGTTTAGGGTTTAGGGTTTAGGGCCCTCCAGCATGAATCTCAAAAGCAAACCCACATGCGCGTGTCCACGCAACGCCATCCACGGTTTTCTTTGTTGGGTGTGGTGGGGTGCACTTTGCATGTGACGAAGTCTTCTATCCTGAGATATGCGATGAATCTAAACCATAAAGCCAAACATCCCGAGTCTTCTTACTTTCCCCAAGCCCTAAGCACTACACCCTAAGCTGTAAACCGCAGGAGATGCGGAGGACGAGCCTCGGAATCTTGACCGACAGCATCTCGGCCAAGATTTGCCTTTTCGGCTTTAAAAACACCTGGGGGCATGGTTAAGGACGAAACATCGTAAATTTTAAAGCCCTAAGCCACATGCGAACCATAAACTCTAAACGCGAGGGGTTGTTCGAGGGGTCCGACGGTTTGGGGCTGCGGAACTGGAGGATTTTGGGATGCATTGGTATGAAAGGTTCGCAGCAGGTAAACCTAACCCCCCATCCCTACGGGCCCTAAGCCCTTAACACTCTAAGGGAAGTCACATGGTCCCTTTAATATGGTCCCTTACCTTCCTTAAAGGGTTCGGAAATATGGGCCCTTGAGTTTTATAGGGTAGAAACACGAAGCCGCATGCAAGCACTTGCAGCGGCAGCCTACCCATACAAGAGTTTCGGATCAAGCCCTCAGCCCTTCAACCCTCCATTGAAGCTGGGGTTTAGGGTAGGGTTTAGGTTTAGGGTTTAGGGTTTAGGGTTTAGGGTTTAGGGTTTAGGGTTCAGGGTTCAGGGGTTCAGGGTTCAGGGTTCAGGGTTCAGGGTTCAGGGTTCAGGGTTCAGGAAACCTTCAATCCCGCACCACGAGTGCTAGTGATCTTCAAAAGTCCTTTTGAAGCATCAGGGTTTTGGGGTTTGCGGTCTTCAGGACTTGGAATGCTTCCGCTCTTCTCGTGGACTTGTTCGTGAAGACCCGAAGCCTTAATTCGAGAGCCGCCTTGGGACAAGTCCCTGCGCAGGCAAGCTCCTCAACGTGGCTTTGACCCGTGCAAAGTATGGTCTGGTCTGCATTGGCAACGCAGAAATCCTCAGCAATGGATCTAAGGACTCGGTGCTCTTGGGATCTGGGGTGAGGGTTTCGGGTTTTAGGGGCTTGAAGACATTGGCCTCTTGTTCCTGCCTGGAAGTATGTGCTTTGAAAGCCGTGCACTGGCTGCCTTCATAGGTTTATGACCCCGGATTCAGCCACAGAGAGCACGTTGCCAAATCATTTCTTAATGAGTATTTTATGATTTGAGATAATTCTTGGAGTTTTTTTGGATTTATGATATTTTTACGACTTGTTTTGTGATTCTCTTCGATTTTATGAAAAAAATGATTTTTTAAAAAGAAAATTTATGTTTTTTCGTCGATTTTATGAAAATTTATGGATTTTTATGAAGATTTTTTGTTCTTCATCAATTTCGCATCATTTTCAATACAGAAACACACAAAACCTACCAAAACCATAACATTTTCAAACAAAAATCCTAAAATTTTCATAACTTCGACGAAAAACATAAAATTTTCATAAACATATCATAAAATTTTCATAAAATCGAAGAGAATCATAAAACAAATCATAAAAATGTCATACATCAAGAAATCCCAAAAGCATATTTAAATCATAACTTTTCCATATAAGAAAAATTCCTTGAAACGTGGCTCTGGCTTCACATCCAGTGTAATAATCATAGGTCACACAGTTCTGTCTATCTGGGTAGTTCTCTAAATGAGAGACCCTGTTGAGTACGACACCTTATATAAAATAAGGACCCCCAAAGAAACCCTCCGTTAGAGAACTACCGACCGCCCTCCGATTTTGGCGCTTGCTGGATGAAGGTTTAGGGTTTAGAGTTTAGGGTTTCGGGTTTAGGGTTTCGGGTTTAGGGTTTCGGGTTTAGGGTTTCGGGTTTAGGGTTTATATAGGGTTTCGGGTTTAGGTCTTGTTGGGGTTCATGGCTTGTCAGTCTTCCCCAAGTTGCGACCCGGCCTGGTGAAGCCGCCATGCATCAAAAAATGTGGGGGGTTACGAAAACAGGGGACCCCCAATCTAGACCCCCAAATAGTATGATTTCCTTAGAAGAAGGACCCCCCAATAAGGTCCCCAAAAACATCGTAAACACCCATGTAGACCTGCTACTGGAAGGACTTCCACGACTTGATCCAGGATCTGAAGAGACGCAGATGCCTCGTCAGCAGAGAGGCCACCGTCACAAGAACACGGCTCAGTTCTTACATGTAACCCTCCAATGATGAGCGGGATACCGCAAGCCCCCGCAACATGTAAAGAGCTTCTTTTGGAGGGCGGCCTCTCCCCACTCACTTCAATCTCACTATAGATGAAGCCCCTGCAGAAACCCTAAACGGCCCTGAGCCCTGAACCCTAAACCCCTGCACTCTCACCCCGCAGCCGCACGAGAGTGCCTCAGAAATGGAAATGCTTGTAAGCTCCCTGAGACGCCTTCGTCGTCCTAAGCACCCAAGAGTCCTCACATTCCCAATTCTCCCACGACGTAAGTACTTCGGCACCTAGAATTTGAAAGCCCCCCCGAAAGGGTTTGTCATCGTCCCGAGAGCCGGCGCCCTAATCTTCCGGCAGGACTTTCTCCAGCCCTGCCGGGCAACACCCCAGCGCTGGAGCCGCCACAAGCTTCGGCGCAGTCTCAACGCCTGAAGGGCTGTAGGCTTGCTTTTCCCAGGTGAAACTTGTCAGGGTCCTGTGGCTAAACCCTAAACCTTCGACCCCAAGGGTTTTTGGGAGGTTTAGGGAACTATTCGGCTTGATTCAATAAACGGAAGCCGACCTTTGACTGGACCTGTAATTCCTTCTGACTTACCAATAAGGTTTCTTTATTAGGGTTTAATGCAGGAAGCAGCTTAATGTTAATGTTCTCGACAGCACCTATGTGTTTGACCTCGGACCGTGGCAACACCTGCACCACTTTCTGGGCAACTTCCGTTGCTGATTGATTTAAACATTGCTCAAGCTAGCCGCGGCCGCCCCAAGTGTTGCCGCATGAAGGTTGCCACTTCCATGCGCGGCGAGGGGGGCCGCGTGAAACCTTAGAGCTCCGCCCCGCAGAGCAAAAGCATGGCAGGCCGCGCTTCAGACCTTAAGCCGGAAGCCCTGACAACGAGTTGTCCTCCAGCCATGGGCGCGTCTGCCCCAAACCCTTGAAGCCCCTGAACCCCGAATCCCCTGCAACTCCAAAGCCCTAAGCCGGTTTAGGGTTTAGGGTTTAGGGTTTAGGGTTTAGGGTTTAGGGTTTAGGGTTTAGGGTTTAGGGTTTAGGCCCCGGTCAATCTAAACCCCGAAGCTGCTAGGTCCTAGACCCTGTCGCTGTCACGTCTTCCGATCGCGAGATATCCGAAGCCGTTTTTTCTGTATGTCTTCTTCCAGAGAATAGAAGAAATAAGTGGCATCTGCTACCCCATGAGACTACGTGTGGATGGAAGCCCAATGTTCTGATCTCGTCGCTTTAAACGAAACAGCCTATGCCTTTGCCTGCGTTCCTGCTCAGAAACAGAGCGCTCAGCCCAATACTCGCTTCCTAGCTGGCCAATGGCGCTGGCAACGTTAGCCTTCTTCTTGCTGCTGCTGTTGGGTGGAGCGCACCCGGCCCCAGTGACAGTGAAGTTACGGACGGTTCGACAGCAAGGACAGCGCCTTGATCCAGGACTGGATGCCCGTCAAGCTACGTGTAGTTCCGTGCGTATTCGCAGCCTCTAGAAGTCCAGAAAGCGCTATGGGAAAGTACTCTGGATCCTTTAGACGGGAAGCCCAAGCCCGAAAACCTTAAATCCGAGACTGTACACCCACCAGGACGATGGCGGAGCTTCGGCAAGGAGGCCGACGTAATGAGACGTAGATCGCCCATTTGCTGTCCTGTGCAAGTCTCGTAGGGAAAATCAGTACTTTTACCTCGGCTTGCTAGCAGCTAGCCGGCGTGCCTCTGTGTCTGTGTGGAATGCATATGTGTACTTGTGTATGTTTGTGAGTGCAGGGACATGGGCCTGCGCATCATATCGTATGTGCGAGCATATTTCTATGTGCAAACATCTCTGTCTCGTCTATGTACCTATCTATCTATCTATCTGTTTATCTATCTGTCTATCTATCTGTCTATCCCGACCACAAAGCTGCGACTCACGCCAACATGCCGCCAAAATGCCTAAGAAAGGCGGTGGCCGCACAGGGCACGTGATCTATCTATCCGTCGTTTTTCTGTCTGTCTGTCTATCTGGATCTCTAGCTTTCTATCCGTCTGTCTTCCTGTGTGTCTACCTATCTACAGATCTATCTATCCATGAGTCTATTTACTTGCCTATCTGTCTATGAATCTGACTACCTGTCTACATGTCTATATATCGGTGTATGCATCTACTTGATATCTATCTACCTACCCAAATATACTCCTACCTACCGACGGGCCGACTGCCTGCCTGCCTGCCTGTCTGCCTGCCTGCGGGCCTGCCTGCCTGCCTGCCTGCCTGCCTGCTTGCCGACTCACCCTTGCATCCCTTCTCAATCAATCAAGTAGTCAATGAATCAATCAGCCAGTCAAGCAGCCAATCGGTCAATCAGGCAATCAGTAAATCAGTCAATCAGCCAACCACTAAGCCAATCAGCCAATCAGCCAACCAGCCACTCAGCCAACCGACCAACCGACCAACCAGCCAACAAGCCAACCCAAAATCTATATTGTATGTATAGACACAAGCATGCATATTTTTATGTATGTTATGTATGTATGTTTCGTTATTTACACACACACGCTGACAGAGACACACACACACACACACACACACACATATATATATATATATATATGATGTATATATGTATATATGTATATATGTATATATGTATATATGTATATATGTATATATGTATATATGTATATATGTATATATGTATATATGTATATATGTATATATGTATATATGTATATATGTATATATGTATATATGTATACATGCATATATGTATATATGCATATATGTATATATGTATATATGTATATATGTATATATGTATATATGTATATATGTATATATGTATATATGTATATATGTATATATGTGTATATGTATATATGTATATATGTATATATGTATATATGTATATATGTATATATGTATATATGTATATATGTATATATGCATATATGCATATATTTTTTTCTGCATATATGTGTATATGCATATATGTATATATGCATATATGTGTATATGTATATAAGTAGGTCGGGAAGTCGGTTGGTCGGTTGGTCGTTTGCTCGGTAGACATAGATCGATAAATACATGTATATACCTACACACGGCATGTATATATATGTATGTATGCATGCATGCATGCATGCATGTATGTATGTATGTATATATATCTTGGTATGTTTATTGATGTATACAAAGAGAGACGGGGTAGAATGAATAGTCCCGAGGCCTCGAGCTTCGAGGTGTCAGAGTTGGGCTTCGGCCCAGACCCGCTGTTGCGAAACGCCTCCCTGCGAGGTTCCGCGGGTTGCCTGTAGGGTTTAGGGTTTAGGGTTTAGGGTTTGGGGTTTGGGGTTTAGGGTTTAGGGTTTAGGGTTTAGAGCATGCCAGCCTCGAATCCCCCGAAATCACCGACACCTGGTTTTCTGCACTCGGCTCTTATTTCTTCTAGTGCCAGCTTCCCCTTCCATGGAGGGCCAACTCTGAGTCTGCAGCTTCTGACTTCTCCGGCTTCGGCCACGCTGGAGCTGAGGAATGCCGCAAGTCAGCATTGTTTTGGGGTTTTTGGGGTTCAGCTTTGCGGTTTTGGTGGGCTGAGGGAGGGTTCTAGAAGTCTTAGTGCAAGGGTTACTGTCAGGGTGGGGTGGTTTCAAGGTGTCTGCTAGGACCTGTGATCAGTTGAGCCTGGAAGTTTGAAACCCTCTGCGAGGTGAACAGTTTGCTTTACACAGCGGACCTGGACATAGGGGTTGCTGGACGATCGGCTCGGGTCGTGGTGGACACTGGTGACAAGACTGATTCAGATTCTGCTTCTGTTTCGAACGGGAAACTAAGTCTGTGGTACTGCCAGGGCAAGCATTGCCAAGTGAGGTTCTGCTGACTTTTGGCTGAAGCCGAACCTGCTGGTGGAGGAAGTGCATGGGCAGAAGCTTGCCCCTCTGATTTTTCTTAGAGTGCTTTGGCCATGTACTCTCATGTAGCTCAACCCTTCTCAACCAACAGCTCTTCGTATGCTCCTAGTGCCGTCTTATGCTGCTGTCAGCATGACTCTGCGCAGCTTTGCAAAAAGAGTCCGTGCAAGGTCAGCGCCTCGCCCCGGCGACAGGACGTTCATGGACAGCTGCTCGTACCAGAGTATTTGATCCGATACGGACTCGGTGAGGTCATCGCGATCCCCATCGTCGAAGAGCGGGTTTGCGCTGGGTCCCTGTGCCTGGAGCAGCTGGAGCTCATGCTTGCGCTAAAGATTCAGGGCGTCCAGGAGCAGGGGGCCTTTGACGGCTTCTGGGTTCTGCATATTTGGGACCTGTTTGGCTGTTCTTTGCAGGGTTGGAGAATGGTTCCGTGAGGTGTTAAGACTCTCAGTTTTTGGTTGTTACATATGATTGAGAGGTGAGAGGGATAGCAGATGATTTGCTACTTTTCTTATATATCCCTATCCTGGTAACTGCTCAATAGCTCAGGATTGGCAGGGCTGGCTTTCCCACCGCTGCAGCAAGCACCGACGAACCAGACCCTCCTCCAAGCTTTACAGCTCCGAAGCGGCTGCGCGCACTTTGGCTTCTCCCTTTCGCTGCGCGGCGAAGGCGGCCAGAGCCTCCTCAGTCTGGGCGAAGTGCAACTTTGTCATCGTTGGGTAACATTTTACGTTTTTAAGGGTACTTAAACCCACTAAGGAATATGATTTTGAATTTTTGATACTATCCCAGCCATGAACTAGGAAAGATCTCGTGAAGGCGATGGAGAAAGCGGAGGGCGGCAGCAGCATCCCCGTCAAGGTCGTGAGTAGAGACCAGGACACGGAGCCTGGCTACTGGATGGTGGAGGTCGGGACTCAAAGGCTTCGCGTTGGGAGGGGTTTAGGGTTTAGGGTTTAGGGTTTAGGGTTTAGGGTTTAGGGTTTAGGGTTTAGGGTTTAGGGTTTAGGGTTTAGGGTTTAGGGTCACCTTCTGCAAGATGTTTACAAAGGGATCCGGACCGGGTGTTGTTGAAGGTTTGGGGGGGCACTTCGACAGCTGTGAGGTGAAAATGTCGGTCTTCAACGGCAAGAATCAGCTGCTTCTGGCGAAAGGAAACTTTGTGGTACTTTACCGTAACTTTAGATCCTTACCTTTTTTGGGGTTTATTGGGTTTCTTAGTAAGGCAGCTAAAAGTTTAATGTATAGCTACCCTAAGGAAAGGGCCTCCTGGATTCCGGCAGCTCTTTCCTGGCCGTGCCTGAGGAGCAGAGTCGTAATTAGGGTTTAGGGTTTAGGGTTTAGGGTTAGGGTTTAGGGTTTAGGGTTTAGGGTTTGGGGTTTAGGGTTTAGGGTTTAGGGTTTAGGGTTTAGGGTTTAGGGTTTAGGGTTTAGGTGGTTCTAGGCTACCTGTTGTCATGTCGAACGTTCCGCTCGAAGCCCAAGGATGCCCAGCCCTCTACAACTTTACACATAGGGTTTAGGGTTTAGGGTTTAGGGTTTAGGGTTTAGGATTTAGGGTTTAGGGTTTAGGGTTTATGGGTGCCCTGAAGCCCGAAGCACGAAGCGAGAGGGCTTGGTGGGCTACGTTGTCATGGCGCTTACCTACGGCCATGGAGGGCTTCCCAGCCTCGCAGTGGATGAATCACAGAGGCTGCTGTGCAGGTGGGGGAGACTCCCAAGATGTACAACCCGTGAGCCGTGAACCCGGGCGACCGAAGCCCTGAACCTTACAACATCGGAACAAGTTCAGACTACCGAAATTGGATCCCGGGTTGAGGCTCTTTGCGGGTCGAAGGTAAGTTCTAGGACGCAAAAGATCACTGCTTGGACTTCAGCCCGCGGCCTTTGACTCGCTACTTCGGTGAATGGCTGCTGGCTCTGCATCGTCCCCCGAAGTAGCTTGCCCTTGACTTCCAGCCCCCGTGTGTCACGCTAAGAACACTAAAGGACCAGCGCATGCAGCCTCGGTTACCTCGAACCCTTGGGTCGAAGAGTGCGCCCCAAACCTCGGTCGCAGACGGGCAGGTGCGACGCCGGACTGAACGACCTCGTCTTCGAGCTTCCTGGCGAAGATGGGAGAACCTTGAGGGTGAATCTCACCCAGGACCTGCATGCTCAAAGGGCACGGCTTGCTTTTCCTCTGCGCTATTCCGCACTCTCGGCATCAGCCGCTCACCAGATATCCATGCTCTGAGCTCTGTATTCGTTTTGCTCTTCCATCTTTCTATAGTTAATCCCTCAAGCCGTGCTGGCTGCTGGAACCGTTTTTCTTGCTCCTGACCCGCTCATCCCGATGAATTCAAGTAAGCCCTGCGTGTGAGACAGGACGAGTTGCTGGAGCCTCCGACGTCGACCTTTTCTTCTTACTGTGCGCTTCGCCTCCTGGTGATTCCGGCCAGCGCAAACATCCCTTACTTGAGCCCTTGGCATGACGAAGCTGTAATGGGGTTTAGGGTTTAGGGTTTAGGGTTCAGGGTTCAGGGTTTAGGGTTTAGGGGTTCTGGGTGTGGATTGGGTGAGGCCCTGGAGTGTTCGGCAAAGCGTAACCAGAGGATCGAGGATAGCGGGGGGGGGGGGGGGGGGCGATGCCAGGCATTTCTGAGACATCAAGGCTTGAGGTTTGCAGGTGGCTATACTCAAGATGGTTTAGGGTTTGGGGTTTAGGGTTGAGGGTTCAGCGTTTAGGGTTTAGGGTTTAGGGTTAGGTGCCCCTCTCGCAGTCTTAAGATCCCAGCACGCAACAAAAAACCCGCCCCAAGCAGCTGAATTCTCAGGATCATCGGCGACCCCCTCCTTCGCAAGGTCTCCGTGGTCTTCGACGTCGACGGCGCCAGGGTGCACGTGCTGCCCGTCGGAGACAAGAGGGGAGCTGCATTGGTGGCAGAGGTGGGCAGAGAAGTGCTCCTAAGCTTCAGAGCCCAGGGCCCCGAACCCCAAATGTCGATGCTAAAGCCTTGAAGCCAGTATAAGGATGTCGCAGAACATATATATATATATATAGAGTCGCATAAAGTGTAAGAAAAGTGATACAGTCTTATAAGCTCGAGTACAGACTCATGAGCAGGGCCTGGCCGCCGGCCCTCCGCACGAGCTCGCGCTGCTCGGGCTTGTCTGCCTGCTGAGTACGGCCCTGGCTGCGACCTGCGCCTGGCGGTGCTGGTGGCAGGGCCCGGGAGAAACCGGGCACTACCAGTACCTGGCCATGTAGACACAGCCCCTACTTGAACCATGGTAACCATGGTCTCGGTGACCCTGGGGTTTTGGAGTCTCTGGGTGTGGGGAAGAGGTGGAAGGTCGGAGCTCCCTTGGGCGGTTTGGAGCCGGTCCTGCGCGAAGAACACCTTCTGCGTCAGGCCGCTCATTGCCTTGGACTTTTGATGACCTCTTGACCTGACATCATGTCAGCGACAGCAAAGCGCTGGAGCCTGGTTGAATTATCTCTCCAGTAAGACGGGATGCACGCTTTCACACATGCCCCCCCCCCCCCCGAAATGGACCCTCCCTCCTGTTTTCGGAGCATCAAACCCCGGAAGCCTGACGCTCCAGGCCGTGGCAGTGTGGCCCTGTAAGTTGCGTGAACTCAAGTAACAACGGCTTGCAACTGGCAACTGTGGAGGCCCGTTCTGCGGGACCGTTTCGTGTGGCTTTTTTGGGCTCAGAAATGGGCCGCGGAAAAGCAAAAATCCGGGCCCAAAAACAGGCCCCATTTTTTGGCATCACTTTTGGCTCCCTGATCTAATTTGCCTTGCGTGGCTCCACCTCAAGCTCAAATTACGGGGCCTATTTTTGGTGACGCATTTTGGCATTTTGGGGTCTATTTTTCGGGGTTCATTTTTGGGCCCTCAAAATCTTAAAAAATCCCAATTTTCAGCCGATTTACCACATTCCACAGAGTCACGACCACTTGCACATGAGCTGCATTCTATCCATCAGTAGCTTGGCAAGAAATTGCTGTTTTCAGCTGCTTCCGTGCTCTACACAAGTAAGGACCATGCCTTGATCAGCTTACAAAAATGGCTCTCTTTGTAGGTCGTCCAGCAATTCGTTCTGCACTGTGGAGGCCCTTTCAAGCGGCCCCAATTCAAGCACAGTTTTAGGACTCAAAAGCAGCCCCCGCAAAAAACACTTGAATTGCTGCCCTTCATTCAAACTCACCTCGCGTTTTCTCGCTCACACACCTCCACCCATTCTGTCTCACCAGTCACACACATTCCCACACACTTGCAAACACTGCACAATGTGCAACCCACCACCACCTGTGAACAACTGATGCTCCGACTTCACCAACACCAACACCACAGACCTGCCAAGGCTTTGCTGCGGAAGTCACCTGAGCCTCTGCCTTTTTGCACTTACCACATTCCACAGCCACACACACACACGACACACGCCTGTAAATGAGGCTTTCTCTTTTCGCTTGATTTTTGCTGTCTCTTTTTTGGGACCCATACCTTCTCTTTTTAAAATTGTCTTCGAACCGAACTTTTGGTGCAAATTTTTTAAACATCAAGAAATGGCAGCTTGGACCTTTGGGTTTTCACTGTGCTGGTCTGAAAACACACTTGGCACCACTTTGGCCTCAAAACTTGTCAAAAAAGCCAATAGGTCTTGAGCCATCGCCGATCCAAATTCAAAACAACCAATCGTCCAATGCCAGACCCAACACTGGAAAGGGTCAATATTTGGCAAAGCAAAAAACGACACAAAGCCAGACCACACTGCCTTTGGTTCTGTTTTTTGAAAATTGGGCTTGGAATCGATTTTTGGGTGTAAACTTTCAAATCAAAATCAGCTGTGGTCTTTTTGAGGCATCCGATCCAAGTGAAAAACAATTCTTTTTTGAAGGCAAAGAGGTGTCTGCAAGTCCGGTCTTGACCTGACACTGCAACAAGTCAAAAGTTTTGCAAGGTCTCTTAACATTTGCCAGCAAAAGATCTCACCACTTCGATCCAACACACCAGAGCGACCGAAGCCACCAGGCACTCTGAAACGCAGAAAGGCAACCTTCAAAAAATCAGAAACAGGCAAGATAAAACAAATCTTCAAGAAAATCTCTTCCAAAGATTGCCACGCAAGAAGTTGCCCAAGCAAAATTTTTGCAAATTTTGTTTGGCACAGCCTCTGGACTGGTACTTTTCGGGAACAGGGTTTCTTTGGGGTCAACCCTGTTCTCTGAAAGGTTGCCACTCCAGAGGTCACGCCTCGCAAAAGTTGCAACCGGCAAGTTAGAGGAATGATTGCGACTGGAAGCAAATTAACAACAAAACCTAAAAAATTCAAAAACTCATCAAAAACAGCACTTCAGTGAGTTTCTGTGTTGAATACACTCCGGTGTTTCGCTCGCTGTCGCTCGCACTTATTCACATTTTGGTAAGACACTTTGCAAATTTCGAACGGTTGGGTTCGGGCGTCGCGTGCAACATTGCGGCATCAACACCACAGTTGAACTCGTCTCGTCCTGCAGTTGACTTCTGTCCAAACGGCGCTGTCAGAGACTTTCAAAAATGCTTATTTCAAACAAAATCAATCACGGATGTGGGGGCAAGCAGGGGCCCAAAAAACGTCCCCGTTTTTGGGCCCCATTTTTCCGGCCCACAGTTCGGATGGGCATTGAACCTTGAGTGCAATGCTCATCAGTGTTGCTGGGCATTTTCGGTCACGCTGCCAGCGTTTCATCCTTGCTCAGACCTGGTAATCTTGAATGCAGACTCGCTGCAGAGAAGTGCAGCCAACATGTGGCAGTGTGGCCCTGTAAGTTGCGTGAACTCAAGTAACAACGGCTTGCAACTGGCAACTGTGGAGGCCCGTTCTGCGGGACCGTTTCGTGTGGCTTTTTTGGGCTCAGAAATGGGCCGCGGAAAAGCAAAAATCCGGGCCCAAAAACAGGCCCCATTTTTTGGCATCACTTTTGGCTCCCTGATCTAATTTGCCTTGCGTGGCTCCACCTCAAGCTCAAATTACGGGGCCTATTTTTGGTGACGCATTTTGGCATTTTGGGGTCTATTTTTCGGGGTTCATTTTTGGGCCCTCAAAATCTTAAAAAATCCCAATTTTCAGCCGATTTACCACATTCCACAGAGTCACGACCACTTGCACATGAGCTGCATTCTATCCATCAGTAGCTTGGCAAGAAATTGCTGTTTTCAGCTGCTTCCGTGCTCTACACAAGTAAGGACCATGCCTTGATCAGCTTACAAAAATGGCTCTCTTTGTAGGTCGTCCAGCAATTTGTTCTGCACTGTGGAGGCCCTTTCAAGCGGCCCCAATTCAAGCACAGTTTTAGGACTCAAAAGCAGCCCCCGCAAAAAACACTTGAATTGCTGCCCTTCATTCAAACTCACCTCGCGTTTTCTCGCTCACACACCTCCACCCATTCTGTCTCACCAGTCACACACATTCCCACACACTTGCAAACACTGCACAATGTGCAACCCACCACCACCTGTGAACAACTGATGCTCCGACTTCACCAACACCAACACCACAGACCTGCCAAGGCTTTGCTGCGGAAGTCACCTGAGCCTCTGCCTTTTTGCACTTACCACATTCCACAGCCACACACACACACGACACACGCCTGTAAATGAGGCTTTCTCTTTTCGCTTGATTTTTGCTGTCTCTTTTTTGGGACCCATACCTTCTCTTTTTAAAATTGTCTTCGAACCGAACTTTTGGTGCAAATTTTTTAAACATCAAGAAATGGCAGCTTGGACCTTTGGGTTTTCACTGTGCTGGTCTGAAAACACACTTGGCACCACTTTGGCCTCAAAACTTGTCAAAAAAGCCAATAGGTCTTGAGCCATCGCCGATCCAAATTCAAAACAACCAATCGTCCAATGCCAGACCCAACACTGGAAAGGGTCAATATTTGGCAAAGCAAAAAACGACACAAAGCCAGACCACACTGCCTTTGGTTCTGTTTTTTGAAAATTGGGCTTGGAATCGATTTTTGGGTGTAAACTTTCAAATCAAAATCAGCTGTGGTCTTTTTGAGGCATCCGATCCAAGTGAAAAACAATTCTTTTTTGAAGGCAAAGAGGTGTCTGCAAGTCCGGTCTTGACCTGACACTGCAACAAGTCAAAAGTTTTGCAAGGTCTCTTAACATTTGCCAGCAAAAGATCTCACCACTTCGATCCAACACACCAGAGCGACCGAAGCCACCAGGCACTCTGAAACGCAGAAAGGCAACCTTCAAAAAATCAGAAACAGGCAAGATAAAACAAATCTTCAAGAAAATCTCTTCCAAAGATTGCCACGCAAGAAGTTGCCCAAGCAAAATTTTTGCAAATTTTGTTTGGCACAGCCTCTGGACTGGTACTTTTCGGGTTTCTTTGGAGTCAACTCTGTTCTCTGAAAGGTTACCACTCAGAGGTCACGCCTCGCAAAAGTTGCAACCAGCAAGTTAGAGGAATGATTGCGACTGGAAGCAAATTAACAACAAAACCTAAAAAATCAAAAACTCATCAAAAACAGCACTTCAGTGAGTTTCTGTGTTGAATACACTCCGGTGTTTCGCTCGCTGTCGCTCGCACTTATTCACATTTTGGTAAGACACTTTGCAAATTTCGAACGGTTGGGTTCGGGCGTCGCGCGCAACATTGCGACATCAACACTACAGTTGAACTCGTCTCGTCCTGCAGAGTCACGACTACTTGCACATGAGCTGCATTCTATCCATCAGTAGCTTGGCAAGAAATTGCTGTTTTCAGCTGCTCCGTGCTCTACACAAGTAAGGACCATGCCTTGATCAGCTTACAAAAATGGCTCTCTTTGTAGGTCGTCCAGCAATTTGTTCTGCACTGTGGAGGCCCTTTCAAGCGGCTCCAATTCAAGCACAGTTTTGGAACTCAAAAGCAGCCCCCCCAAAAAACACTTGAATTGCTGCCCTTCATTCAAACTCACCTCGCGTTTTCTCGCTCACACACCTCCACCCATTCTGTCTCACCAGTCACACACATTCCCACACACTTGCAAACACTGCACAATGTGCAACCCACCACTGGTGAACAACTGATGCTCCGACTTCACCAACACCAACACCACAGACCTGCCAAGGCTTTGCTGGAAGTCATCTGAGCCTCTGCCTTTTTGCACTCACCCCATCCCACAGCCACACACACACACACACGACACTGTAAATGAGGCTTTCTCTTTTCGCTTGATTTTTGCTGTTTCTTTTTTGGGACCCATACTCTTTTCAAAATTGT